GATTTCATAGCGGGGAAGTTAATTTGTTCGAAAAATGTAAAGATGATTGTTTCGCTGCGTTAGTGGTAAATAAAAAATTACTTTTAATAAGTATTATGTACTAATCAATATTGAATAAAAAATCATTCTGTTCTCTTCTATTTCTTTCTGTTTCATAAAAACATACAGTCGAATTGAGAACTTCCTCCTTTATTTGTAATTGCCAGATTTAATAGATTTCTACTATTTTAGTAGATTTCGGCCGTTTAAAAACATTTTTTTTTATTTATTATTAAGCCTTTATATTACCATGCAATTTACATACATACAAGAAAAAAAAATCCAAATTGTTATTGTTTAAGACATGGCCCCGCTCCGAGTATAGGCCTCCTCCAACTGTTTCCATTTGATCCTGTTTTGCGCTTTCAACATCCAATCTCTACCAGCTATTCTTTGGATTTCATCCATCCAGCGATCTTTAGGTCTTCCTTTACTCCTTGTTCCGCTTGGGCCCGTCCATTCGGTGACTCGTTTCGTCCATTTTCCGTCTGTAATCCGGGCTATGTGTCCCGCCCAACTCCACTTAAGCTGTTGTGCGTGTTGTCCTGCGTCTATTAATTTAGTTTTGCTGCGAATATCATCGCTCTTACGTTTGTCAAGGAGCTCAATGCCTAGAATACTTCGTTCCATAGCGCGCTGGCACGATCGTATTTTATTTTTTATTTTCTTTTTAATATCCAAATTTGTGCTCCATATGTCAGACAAGGCAGCAAACAAGAGTCTATTACCTTTTTTTGAGCTTTAGTGGGAGTTTAGCTTTTAAGATTTCTTTGAAGCTCCAGTATTTCCTCCATGTCATGTTGATACGGCGCTCTAGTTCGTCTTCGTGTCTTGATTTCTTGAATGAAATTTGTTTCCCAAGATATACATAGCTGTCCACATACTCTATCGCTGTTTCATTTACTATTATTGGTCTTTGTATACTGTTTGTAGTAACTTTTGTTTTTAAGGTATTCAATTGTAAGCCTATTTTTCTGCTGGCGTTATTTAGTTCTACCATCATTGTTTCCAGCTCCTTCGATGTTTTGGCAAATATGACGATATCATCTGCAAATCTTAGGTTACTTAAGAACTCTGTATCTATTTTAATTCCTTTTCTACTCCAATTTAGCTCTTTCATAATGTCCTGTAGCACGGCTATAAATATCTTTGGAGACAACGGATCTCCTTGTTTCACTCCTCTTTTAATGTAAATTTTTGGTCCTAGTCTTTCCAACTTCACCCTGCTTGTACTGTTCTTATATATCTGTATGTGAAAGCGCTTGCCATATGCTCTCGTGTGAAATTGAACCAAATGCTTTCTCATAATCGATATATGCAAGGTAGAGCGGCTGATTAAATTCTTGATATTTTTCTACTATTTGGTCTAGCGCATAGATAAATATATATGTAGCAAGCTAGTCTAGCGTGTGGATGTGGTCGATAGTAGAGTAGCCCGACCGGAATCCAGCTTGCTCTACTGGTTGGTTTGTCTCTATCCTTAGTGCTATTCTTTTTTCCAGACACATTGCAAATAATTTGTACATTGTTGGCAACAGGCTGATAGGTCGATAGTTATTAATATCTGAAGGATCTCCCTTTTTATATAATAAAATTATTCGAGATTCTCCCCAGTTTTTGGGGATTTTTTGGACTTCTAGTATTTTACTAAACAGAGTCGTTATAGGACCTATTAGAGTTTTCTTTCCGATTTTTATGGCTTCATTGGGAATATTATCAGGACCTGGGCTTTTTTCTTTTTTTAATTTTTCTATATTTTCCAATATATCTCTGTAGTCAAAAGGCGCGATGGGTGTATTTAATTGTATTTCATATTTTTTGTGCTCATTTTCTTCGCTTCGTTCATCCTGGTAGAGATTCCTGTAAAAGTCCGTAGCAATATTTATTATGTCTTTTCGCGTTTGTAATTTACCTGTAGCATTCTGTGCTTGCAATGTGGGTATCCATTTGTGCCCAGTATTTAGTTCTTTATAGGCTTTCTTTTGGCTTCTGTTGGCGGTCAGGTTCTTTTCGATAATTTGCATTCTGTAGTTTTCGTAGTCTTTTTTTAACATTTTATTTGTAATTTTATAGAGAGCTGTAAGTTCTTTTTTCTCCTCTTTGTTTTTACATGGTTTTGATTGGAGTGCAATACGTTTTTTAAAATGTTGTTTAGTTTCAATGGTTAGAATATTTTTGCTTATTTTCTTTGAGGTGGCAGCATTTAGGCTTTGTTTTAAGGCTGTCTCTACTTTAAGATTGAAGGACTCTATGTCGTCGCAACTTTCCCATTCAATTTGTTGCATTTTTTCCTCTAAAGTCTTGAGGTATGCTTGTTGACTCTTGTCGCACGATAGACCAGCTCGAGTTTCACTAAAAGTTGCTCTACTTTTTTTAAGTTTTTTCAGTTGTACTGTGCCTCGCAGTAGTCTGTGGTCGCTTGGAAATGTATTATTATTTAAAATTTCTATGTTTGTGAAAAGTTTTGAGGAGTTGCTCAAAATATAAGCGATTTGGTTTTTATGATGCTTGTCTGGTGTAGTCCATGTCCACAAAGTTTTAATTTTTTTCTTAAATATTGTGTTAATTATAGTGAGTTTGTTTTTTAATACGTATTGTAGTAGTTTGTCTCCTCTTACGTTTCTCGTTCCAAAGCAGTATGGCCCCATAATTATGTTTTCCATGGGTTTTCTTTTTCCTATTTTAGCGTTTAAGTCTCCCATTAAAATAATTTTTCCGTTTGCTAGTTTTTGAGCTTTTTCGACTTGATCGTAAAAAAGATCTATTTCCTCTTCCGGTGCTTCATTGGTGGGGGCGTACACCTGTATTATTGAAATTGCTATTTTGTAGAATTTCATATTTAGGAGGCAAACTCTATCTGATATACCTACGTAGTTCTCTATGTTGTTTTTATATTTCTTTTTTATTAAAAAGCCTACACCATATTGCCCTTGTATATCTGTATAACAAAAAATATGATTTTCATCTTCGATAATTTCATTTCCTTTTCTTCTGATTTCCGATAGTCCTACGATGTCATGTTTAATTTTTGATAATGAATATTTTAATAGTATCATTCGTTGTGGCGATAGTAATGATTTAACATTGTATGTGCAGATATAGAGTGGTTGACAAGTTGGAGGGTTGTAGTCGTCCTCTACCGCGGTGACTAGCCGTGTTGGGAGATGGGGAGGGGCCGGTGCTGATTGTTATTGTGTGGTTCTTGGATCATGAGGATGCGAAGTGATTTTTTTGGAGTGAAATTGCAAAGTTGTTTTTTTTTAACAGGAAGTTATCCATGCTGTTTGTTTTATTGATCTTTATAGGTTGCTTGTCTTTATTATTTTCACAGTCGGATTGCGATGTTTCCGGTGACTCTGACAAAACTCTTTTCTTTTTATCCATACTTTGCTTCTCGGCTTGTTGGTTTCGGTTCTTTAGTATTACGATTTTGTTATATTTAATAATCGCTAATTTACCTTGTTCTCTTTCTTTGTTAACTTCCATTTGAAGTTCCTTACGCTTGCTTAGTATTTCGGGGGGGAAATCTTCTTTAATATAGTAGGGTGTCGGTATTAGCTTCTTTTTGTTTTTTTGTATTTTTATTTTTAGCCCCATTGTGGTTAATGTTATAACGATGGGTCTGACTTTTTCTCCCTTTTTTCCAAGTCTTCTCACGCATTCAATACCGTTGCTATCGCATTTGATGTTTATTACGTTATTTATTAAATCAATAACCTTTTTCTCTAGGTCCCAGTAGCTCTTTTCATCTTCAGTGACTCCGAATATGAGTAGATTTTTCTTTCTTAAGGTCCTCTCCAAAATATTTATTTTTATTGCCTGCGTTTCTAGTTTCTGTTCTAAAAGCTCGTTTTTGGTTTCTAGACTTTTAAACTTCTCGTTAATATTGCTGTTAATAGTGTTTTTAATATCCTCCTTCATATCCTGCATGTCGACTTTTTGTTGTCTTATTTCCTCTTGCATTACTTTTAACATATTTTTTATTTCCTCCATTTTAATAAATAAGCGATATAAATAGTTTATAAATAGAAGTTTTTTGTTGTATTCCTGTTTATATATATATAATGTCCTCTTGTGGTGAGAAGTGGAAACACTATTTTTATGTTGGATACTACAACGGTGTAGTTGGATCTCTCTCCTTTATGTTCTGGCAATCGCCGGTAGATGTCGCTAAGAGGTTCGCTTGTATGCAAGATGAATAGCAATATTGCAATAGTTAACCTAAAAATGTTGATTATGTTTTGCACTTGTTTTTCAGTTCCACGCATGTATAAATAGGATCTTCACGTATAATTAGGTCTTTAAAAAATTGATAATCTACACTTTCCTGACTTTAATAACTTCTCGACAATCATCACAATGAAAAAACAAAAGTTATTCAGCCGTTATACATCATAACCAAGGATATTTACACTTCTTTAGCACTAGTCTTTCACTTTCACTCAAAAACTTCACTTTGTCCTGGTACTTTACTACACTTTTTAGCGTTCTAAGTAAGTTTTGGTTTACTTTCACAATTAGAAGTAATTATTTTTCAATTAAAATCACGGAACCGATGTATACAGTGGCACGGTGGCGCCCTCCTCTCTCTAAAAACATATCTGTGGAAAAAAATTGTAGTTTTTCGTAGATAGAGACATATCTATGGTAAAAATTTGGGAAAATTGGGTAAAGATTAAATATAATATAATCCCTACGTTTTATTCTAGTAGGTAATTTTATTTTTATACGCGGAGCAGTACAAACTTTAAATTCATTGAACCGGAATTAACCGGAACAACATGTACATTTTGCTTCTAATCGCTTCTCCTTTTGTTTGCTTGCATATTCTATAAAATCTACTTCTTATTACACTTATTTCTTTCTAGAGCTAAAAAATACGTAAAGACTATACCGACCGATAAATACTAAACAGTTACGGAAATTACTACCGTTGTTTATTTCATGATATACTTCTACAGCGACGGAGACGTGGGAACGCATCAACCAAAGCTTAAAGTGGCCGTCGGCGCGCGTGGACGGGCGCGTGCTGCTGGTGGGCGGCGAGGGCGGCGTGCGGCCCGCCCAGAGCCTGCCCGCCCGCCCCCGCCCCGACCCGCCCACGGGCTTCCTGCACGAGATCTCCAAGCTCTCGTCCTTCCACAGGCGCAGAGGCGCGCGCTGCTCCTACACCGTCCTCGCCGGGGAACAGGACTCCACCGAGAGCCTCGTCCGCTCCGAACAGCCAGCCCTGTCCAAATCGAGATCAGCCTACGTCATAGACGAACGCCAGCCGGCAGACGGTGGCGAGAGCCCCGCGGAAGGCGACGAGGCCGAAAGACACCGATCGATGTCGCGGGAACCTATCTCCGTACCCGACTTCGCCGACATGGTTCTACCGACTCCAGTTCTATCGCAGACAGAAGCTACGAAACTTGTGTACCTCGATGCAGAGGAAGAGGAGGAAATGAGAAGAGAGATTTCACAAAACGGTCACAAAAAGGATTTGAAAGACGAGACTCCAAAGGTGAAAATTGTAGCGCTTCGAAAATCGGCATCGGTGAGATTTATGAAGGAGCCGGTCACCGATATTACGGAAGACGAGGCTGAATTGTCCACGTCAGACTACGCGAGCGCTGAGAAAGTTAACAGACTTTCCGGGGCGTCATCTTTAGGTTTTAGCAACCCCCACTACTTGGGACCAGACGTAAGAAATTTGGGAATAGCTATGACCCCAGATTCCGGGGTTGGTCCTCTTGAGTCCATTGAACTTCAAGATTTAGGAGAGAGACGTGCCAGAAGCGAGCCGAGAAATGGCGAAACACAACTACACTTATTACTTGTGGGCGGTAAGGAGCCACCCCACTTGGCATTGCTCCAGAGTCCACTGTCCATGTGGACCTATCGGTTGTTGTGAGTAACTTTATATAAAACTTGACGTCCATATAGCGGAACCAAACAGTGTTAGTAGATAATTTTAGCAATACAAAAGAGATTTAGAACTATACATACTGTCGAAAGCATAAATAAAGAAATGAAAGTTGTGCATAGACCATTACATGGTAAAAAAATATTTATATGTATATATATATTAAATAACCACAAGCGAAACGGAGGTAAAATTGTAAATTTAACATTTGACCTTAGAATAATAACACCTAGAACGATAGTTCCCTACAAAGCGGACGTTCAAAAGTGTGGCGAGAACAAAATCTATGTGTGCGTTATCAACTTCTGTTTACGCTAGACGAAACGCACATAAGTGAAGAAATAATGTGGCCAATTCATAAAATTTTCCCGAAAAGTAGGGAAGTTGAAACTATATTGGATTAATAGTTACAACGTAACGTATGACTCATAAAAATGTGATAAAAGTTTGTTTGAATTCTATTATCGAAGTGTAGCCCGTTAAATTCAAAATATTTTTGAATAGGATATTTGCCTATCTAGCCAATGGAGATACTTTTATGAACCATATAAATGTGATTGCATCATATTTTTCTTTGTAACTGTATAGAGACGTTATAATTATATGACTAATGCAAGTTCGATATACACCCGCCCGATTCCTGACACACGACTGTTCGACGAACGATTGTCCGTATTCAGTATCTATTATTCAGTTTGTTTTAACAATTTTTTTAACAATCGTCGAGTAATGGTGTACCGCACCTCACTGCATGCATAATGTAAGCTACAATACGAAAAACACAAGAAAATTTTAATTTTGGTAGGTTTTACACAGTCCTCACGGATGACAACGCATCTCTTTATTGGGGATAGTTGTAGATGTATATGGGTCACAGCATCCACTTACTATCAGATGGACCGTGTTCGTATTTCACCATATCCTATAAAAAAATGTACAATTTTTTTATTTTTGTGGGCTTCCAACCGCATTCATTTCGATTGTGTCTGATGTTTTCTGTCTCACAAACCGTAATTATCTGATCAGAAAGAAACATAAAACGAAAACCAAACATGCATTTATTATCAGACCATATAAAAAGTTTTTTTTTGTTCACATTGGCAACATTTCCATATAATGTCATATGTCAGGTTTTAAAAATTCATATTTATTTTTGATGAATGTTTTACGTAAAAATATAAGTTCAAAAACATTAATTACTTGTGAAATGTAATGTTACTATGTTTCTTGTGTTTCTCTGATGTACTGACATCCGGTCACTGCATAAAACGTCATTTTTAATTAAAATTTCGGGAGCTGTTGTCAACACGACACAACTTTGAGCACTAACGGGCCGAGTAATGAACTAAGCCATACTGGCTTAGTTTGAGTTGCCTCACATTACGGACGCGGACTCGGCTTCTAGGTGTTATTATTCTAAGCATTTGACGTAATTATTTACAAAGTAAGTTCGGCATTATAACGTCCAAAATTATTAAAAGTTCTCGACAGGTACAATACCGTGCCAATACTTAAGTATTTTAGAAAAGTTCTCAAATTATTTAAGTTTTTGTTTTATTTCTTTATCTGTTACAATATGTAGTATTTTTACTTTTTTACGTTTTTACTAATGTTGCAATTGTATTTAAAAAAACATTATGTTGGTTAATTAGTGCAATAATGTGTATTCGTCAAACGGTTTACTAAATTTTGAAATATTTTAATATAGGTGTTTTAAACTTATTCATTGACATAGACATAGAATTTAACTTCTACTTCCAAAAGTAAAGGAATGATTGCCCAAATTAATTATGGCAACTTAATTAAAAATTACGATAATCAATTTGGACAATACTTTAACTAATAATTTCTAAACTTCATTAATTTTCGGGACGAAGTGACATAAATTTAAAAACACCTATACATAGATCAGCCACCTGGGCTGGATTCTGCTCCAGCATTCATTAGCATCCGCTAAGACTGAATAGTTTAGATTAGCGTTAGGTTTATACAAATCGTTTCATTTTCGAAAAGCTGTTTTTTCGTTACGGTTTCCTATTTACCTTGTTGTATGTACATTACATAAGATCATTAATCAAACTAACCGTCAGCGAATTACTTAGATAAAACCTATTTATTCAGTAGATCATTTTGCTAATGCCAATAAAAATCAGTAAGGTACTTGCCCGAGCTCTTATCAAAAAATACATTTCAACCTTTCACTCGTCAATTAGATATGCCTTGCAACACTAAAAACTGGCGAGCTAAAAAAATCAAAAAAAAAATTACCTATGAATTTAATATTTTTGCAAACCAAAAATTTTGTCTAGAAACCCTTTTAAAAATAACCGCTATTTCAGTTGATTTCATTTCAATATGTGGAAGGTTTTAACAAATTATATCAATAAAATGCTATTGTGATTACAATCTTTTTATTCGACTACATATTTGAAATGTTATTAAATGTAGTTACGACCGTATACTGCGTTTTATTTTTAACACCTTTTGTAACAATACTCACAAACAAGCTAACAAACTTAACTACCCAAGTCCGAAGCTTATACGAAGAAGGCTACGGAACAGATGCGTTGTCATTCTTGAGAAATAAGATGAAATAACTCAAAACTTTCAATTGTATTTTCCTATCTCTCCGTTTAAACGAGAGCGCAGCAGTGGGTGCAGTGCAACTAGATGGAAAACATAGATTATTATATAGGGTTGTTAAATAGACCCACCACCTTTAAAACAGCTTAGGTGACTAGTTTCAATAATAGTAATAGTCTATAGATTGTTTATGGGTATAAAGGTTGTTGATAAAGTAGCACTCCTTACAAAATAAACTGAATAATTTTTCATTTACGACACAAATCAAAGTATGATAAAAAATAGTGTTGTGTCGAATAAAATGTTGATACGTTATGTGCTATGCGAGAAAAAAAACTAGCTCACCTTTGGTTTCCTCTTTTCAGCAAAAATACGGATCAAATCAAAAAGCAAAAAATATAGTACTGTACATTTGGAAGGAAAATTTATCAGGAGTTTTGAAAATTGGTAATTTTATACATTTCGATGTGCTCTTTCCGAATTTCTACTTTGTCACCTCGTACTCAATATTTTCATATATATAGTATATACTCCAGGAGTTTATACTATATCCTTGAGTTTCTACTGTATCTATGAATATTTTGTATATTTGCTGTTCGCGCTGCCATATTGGAAAAATGGCGACTAAAAACAATTTTTTGAAAATATTTCATTACAGAATAATTTTACGTCAGGTACATTTACAGGTATAATAAACTTGAGAAAATTTTCAGTAATTAATGTAATTACCTTTTTTTGTAAATATTTTTAGCTTATAAGTGCAAAAAAACACAATGAAGTAGAGATGTGGTGCGTATTTTATCGTTATATCCATTCCCCAGTAGATCTCTAGCATATATACAGTAATCTATGCCCAGTAGGCCCACTAATCTTCATTGTTTTATCGTTAGAGGAAAGGTTTAAGAGAGGGCGTTTAAGTTTTTAAAGACTGCGAAGGTTTTTTAAAGATCTCAAAATAAACTTTAGCTTTAGCTTACTCGAAACGTCAGGAATATAAAATAAGTCTAATAAGAATGTAAAATCCGTAAAACACTAGTTTCATTCAATAAATAGGTCTACGGTTATCTGGTACTAATGATGAGATGAATGAGATTTAAATAAACGAATGAATTTTTATAGGAAATGCGGGCCGAGACTTGAAAATTAGGTAGGTATTTGAAGAAATTATCGCTGTCACTCTGCGAGCGCTCGGCGCCCGATAAGGACAACTGCAGATCCGACTGAATGACCTAAGTCGTAATTCGAGATTTAGCTCTCTATCATTTCCTCCTCCAATATTAAACCAATTTAAAAGATATTACATAAACTGAATAAGAAGGGTATACAATGTGTACCTATGTTTTTCTTTTTTGACTAGGCTGTTAACCGATTCGTTGCGGCACCGATTTTCGTCAATTTTTAGCTATGGCGGCGAGCAAATATTTCATGACACGCCTATTGTGCCATCAGCCATGTGTAAAAGTAATGTTCTTTTTTATGCTTTTTTCACTTGTTTAGACCTAATTAAGTCTAGTTGATATAAATATCAGTTAGAAAAGGAAGGATACTTGTTTTTAGTGGGTAACTACGTGTTTTTCACGTGTTTTTTTTTGAAAGGAAGAGTAAGTGACTTTTTTTATGCAGAGATTACAAACATTTTGTACTATTTTTTGTTTTATAAAAAAATCATTTCCTATATAAGTAGGTACAGCTAAATTACCCTGGAAAACCTTGGTATTTATTAAATTAAATTTTCACTTAATGATAATATTTGTAAATATCAAAAAATCAAGAACCTTAATTTGGAAAAAAATAAGGTTTATGATTCATTAATATTTACAAATGTTAAATATTATTTAATGTTATGTTATACAAATGTAAAAGTAAAGTCGATTTGAAAACGTCTAATTAGTAAGAATAGCAAAACAAGTGTTTTCAAAAGGAAAAAAACGCCGGTGCTATACGGCGGCGGATTGACAAAAGACTATTTATTAGGTAGCGAACAAAAATAAACCTTATACCATATCACAAGAGCACATGGCACTGCGTAGATCTATACGGCCATATGATAGTAATAAGACGGCAGTTCAACCATTTTAAGCAAAATTAAACAATAAGACTAACGCATTCTTTTTTTTGATAGGACACTTGTTTTCCGGAAATTTATTTACAACTCGAGTTTGTAAGCAATCGCAGAGTGCTATTATTTGTTACTTATAGACTATTTTCCCACAACATGATTTAAAATCCACAAGTAAAAAGAGTACCATGTAGATACAAGTTAAAAAAAGGTTGTCAACCCCTAAAAATTTTAAAATATCCAGAAACGAAGCATGAACTACTTGTAAAATAACGAATATTTTGTTCTGGATAAAACTTCCAAAATAGCAATTTGAGCGAGTTATAATGATTTTTAAAAAGACGACTCACGAAAAATAATCGATGGCACTGAACCGGTTAATTGGCAGTTAGTTGACAGCGGTCTAAATAGGCAATTTTGAGGATTTTGTAGGGGTTCTAGTGCTTATAAAGATAATGTATCATCAAAAAAGAAAACATAGGGGCATCATTTATTTTACTGTAAAAAGTCATTGCTATAAGGTCATAAACCAGAAAGAAAACAGATGAGAGCTTTTGTAAAGACCATTTTGAAAAGACCATCCGCATTTCCTCTCAATAAGTTTCAGTAACCCAGGAAACATATCCAATTCGATACTTGTATTTAAAATAATGTCTAGACTAGACGAGGTTTATTAATTGTATATTTAATTTTATTATAATAAAAACAAAAATTATCAAATTATGGTTAAATTTATTTCATTTGGAATTAAATACAAATCATTGTACTATAAACAATCTGAAATCTTAATCTTAAACCTTAAAAAATAGGAAAATTAACAACTTTACTGTGTATATAAAAAGTATGTTATATATGTCCGGCGACATACATTCGGAATTCCATTGTGTCTTAACACCCTAAGCTTGCAATATAGCCAATATTATGTAAAAAGATTTATCTATCCAGAGATTTTTTTAATATGCATGTCTATAAACTCTTATGACGAAATATTAAACAAAATAAGATCAAGGGTTACGAAAAGAGATACACATATAAGATTACATAAACACTCCTACTACCGTGGCACTTCGAGCCGACGAGGTTCGACGACTCGAAGACCAAAGTAAAACATATTCTTAACAGAATCATTGTTATAAAACTGAAGTATATTGTATTTTAGTGTTTTAAGAATGTTCTAATTATAAATACTTAAATTCTATTCCAATAGGTGTCATAAAATACCGAAAAATTGCAAAGGTAATCTAATGAATGTCCTTATAAAAAATTAATGTCATAAAATATAATACTCTAGTATACACTACCTAATTTCATTACACTAAACATAATATTTCTCATTTTCCCTTTCGGAACAGGAGATGGGCAGAGCATCTTACCGATAACAACTCAAAATAATAAAAAACTGCAGTTGCCAACCAGCTTGCCAAGCGTGGCAACTATGGCAAAATCCCCCCACCTATGTGGAAATCTATGAGGGAGGCCTATGTTCAGCAGTGGACTTTTATATGCTGTAATGGATGGAAACATAATATAAAATAATATCATTTAAACATTTTTTTGCTACCAATCAATTTTATAGTAAAGTAAAAAATTTCTGCTGCTCGCAATCAAGACAAAATAAGAAAAAATTAATATATTGAAGTGTGATCTGAGTCTTGATTTCATTATTACTGGCAAGCACTTCATGACAAATGAGTATGAAATCTATGAAAATATGTACCATGTTTGTCAAATAACATAGTGTGTTTAATACAAATAATACAAATATTACTGAAATGTGTCATCTTACATTACTTAAATGCTACACAAGTTTCAGATATCGATCTAGAAAACGAGCTAGTCTACTTCTCACAAGTGCTTATAGTCTGTTCGCTACGATAGTGTCGGTACACAAATTATTTTGCTTTTATTTTATTATTTTTTACTGTTTGTTAAATAAATGTTTTTCTATTTAATAATAAAATATAGTACTATTTTATTCTTATGGTTATTGTAATAAAATACAAATTATAAATAATAAAAACAAGGTAGGTAGTAAAGAACATTTCACTATGGCGCTTTATTTTACAATGCCAGATTCTCCTTAAGGTGTACGCCACACGCGGTGACATTTGATGTCGCTGCGGCGACTTTGACAAAATACTGCACGTGCCAAAGCGGCGAGACACAAAAGCGACCGTATCTGAGCGAGCAGACAATAGACTAAAATTATTTCCAACTTATTCTAGTATTCACTTTCACTACACAAACAGAGACCGTGGCACTTCAAGCCTGTATTTAAACACTAAAATGTCTCTAGGTAGGTAGATGTTCGTAAGGCTAGCATTTCTAGATAGAGCTAAACCTATGCGGTGACCTGCGGCTGTTCGAACTTCACGCCAAATATCGCCTGGCAGGCGGCTTTCGCTGCAGCTTTGCGAGCTTCCTTCTTATTTGATGCTGGAATAAAATGTTTAAATTAGAATATATATTGTGATAACTTTTAACTTTTGATTGACAAATATTGCAAGTTTCATTAAACGCTTTAACAAACTAAGCACATATTAACTAAATTAAAAACATAAATATTTAAAACGCTGTCTGTGATTTATCGATTACAAATTGTAAACCTAAAATTCTACCATAGAGGATGTTATATTCGAAAATACATCTGTGACTAGGAGTTGTAGTATAACTATTATATGTGGTTTGTTGAAGAGCCCGATGAAGGAGTTATATATTTTTTTTAGTTGTATATTATTTTTTAAATAATGGTTTGAAGTGGATATTGACATATAAAGTGGTGCAATTTTGTGTGTTAAATGTCTCCTCATGTGAACTATTAGTGGAAACGATGAAATAAGTACTCCGAGGGTTTGTATATCTCAAGATAAGGTGTCTGTTTAGGCGCAGTGAGATACTACCGTCAACTGTCTGCTAACTCAAATTGCCGTTAAAATGTCCCAAAAACTAAGCGTTGTGAGGCATCAACATATTGTGAAGCAGTGTACTATAAAGGATTAGTATCACTTGATAGTGAAAATCTATCAAAATAAAGATCCCGAATGAAATTAACGATGTGTCTTAAAGGACAAGCGTCCAAGCCAAAATTTTAATAAAAGCATGGTCCCAATGAATTGAGAACACGCAGTTATGATTTTTATCACGTGTTTATTGCACTAGAAGTGAACTGATATTGCTTAGCAAAAATATAACTTATAATTTAATTGTTGATTTTAAATGTATTAGATTTATAGAATTATTATATATTATACATTTTTTAAGCTTTTACATTATAATAATTAATAAAAATTTAATATTTAATCACACACATATTTAAGCTGCTGTCATGAAATATTAAAAACAAGAGGAAGCACAAAGTTTGCTAGGCGCGTATGCCATACCGGTACCAATATATGTGACTCTATCTCTATCCAGTCTGATGGTGTAAGGCACGTTCTGAATTAGCTTGTCAAAGAACATTTGGCAATAGTTCTGTGTGGTGCAAAGATGAGAATGATGATGAATATATATTAAGCATATACCGGTGTCAACATATGTGATTCCATCTACATCAAGTATGTTGGTGAAGTGCATGTTCTTTTTTTTTAAAGTTCTATGGATGAACTGTATGCACGTTTGTCAGTTTAATCTAATATTTATAAATAAATTATTGTTTGTTCGTATTTTATGAGCTGCCATACCGTTCATAAATGCAGTAAAACTTTGTTAACATATTGCTTGTATATCAGTGAAGTTACGGGCATAGTTGAATCCGGTAGGTGGTGCTGTCGTGGCATCCAGATATCAGCCGTGCGAAGCGGGGGCAGATCGCTAGCTTTATATAAAGTGCGGTGTGTGTGTGTGTGTGTACCGGTGCCGACGTAGGTGACGCCGTCGACGTCGAGGCCGATGGTGTACTGCATGTTCTGCGGGCGGTCGCCGCGCGCCGCCAGCTCGCGGTAGGCGAGCGCGGGCCGCATGTACGTGAGCAGCATGCACGGGTGCATGTGCGCTGCGCTTTATATAAAGTGCGGTGTGTGTGTGTGTGTACCGGTGCCGACGTAGGTGACGCCGTCGACGTCGAGGCCGATGGTGTACTGCATGTTCTGCGGGCGGTCGCCGCGCGCCGCCAGCTCGCGGTAGGCGAGCGCGGGCCGCATGTACGTGAGCAGCATGCACGGGTGCATGTGCGCTGCGCTTTATATAAAGTGCGGTGTGTGTGTGTGTGTACCGGTGCCGACGTAGGTGACGCCGTCGACGTCGAGGCCGATGGTGTACTGCATGTTCTGCGGGCGGTCGCCGCGCGCCGCCAGCTCGCGGTAGGCGAGCGCGGGCCGCATGTACGTGAGCAGCATGCACGGGTGCATGTGCGCTGCGCTTTATATAAAGTGCGGTGTGTGTGTGTGTGTACCGGTGCCGACGTAGGTGACGCCGTCGACGTCGAGGCCGATGGTGTACTGCATGTTCTGCGGGCGGTCGCCGCGCGCCGCCAGCTCGCGGTAGGCGAGCGCGGGCCGCATGTACGTGAGCAGCATGCACGGGTGCATGTGCGCTGCGCTTTATATAAAGTGCGGTGTGTGTGTGTGTGTACCGGTGCCGACGTAGGTGACGCCGTCGACGTCGAGGCCGATGGTGTACTGCATGTTCTGCGGGCGGTCGCCGCGCGCCGCCAGCTCGCGGTAGGCGAGCGCGGGCCGCATGTACGTGAGCAGCATGCACGGGTGCATGTGCGCTGCGCTTTATATAAAGTGCGGTGTGTGTGTGTGTGTACCGGTGCCGACGTAGGTGACGCCGTCGACGTCGAGGCCGATGGTGTACTGCATGTTCTGCGGGCGGTCGCCGCGCGCCGCCAGCTCGCGGTAGGCGAGCGCGGGCCGCATGTACGTGAGCAGCATGCACGGGTGCATGTGCGCTGCGCTTTATATAAAGTGCGGTGTGTGTGTGTGTGTACCGGTGCCGACGTAGGTGACGCCGTCGACGTCGAGGCCGATGGTGTACTGCATGTTCTGCGGGCGGTCGCCGCGCGCCGCCAGCTCGCGGTAGGCGAGCGCGGGCCGCATGTACGTGAGCAGCATGCACGGGTGCATGTGCGCTGCGCTTTATATAAAGTGCGGTGTGTGTGTGTGTGTACCGGTGCCGACGTAGGTGACGCCGTCGACGTCGAGGCCGATGGTGTACTGCATGTTCTGCGGGCGGTCGCCGCGCGCCGCCAGCTCGCGGTAGGCGAGCGCGGGCCGCATGTACGTGAGCAGCATGCACGGGTGCATGTGCGCTGCGCTTTATATAAAGTGCGGTGTGTGTGTGTGTGTACCGGTGCCGACGTAGGTGACGCCGTCGACGTCGAGGCCGATGGTGTACTGCATGTTCTGCGGGCGGTCGCCGCGCGCCGCCAGCTCGCGGTAGGCGAGCGCGGGCCGCATGTACGTGAGCAGCATGCACGGGTGCATGTGCGCTGCGCTTTATATAAAGTGCGGTGTGTGTGTGTGTGTACCGGTGCCGACGTAGGTGACGCCGTCGACGTCGAGGCCGATGGTGTACTGCATGTTCTGCGGGCGGTCGCCGCGCGCCGCCAGCTCGCGGTAGGCGAGCGCGGGCCGCATGTACGTGAGCAGCATGCACGGGTGCATGTGCGCTGCGCTTTATATAAAGTGCGGTGTGTGTGTGTGTGTACCGGTGCCGACGTAGGTGACGCCGTCGACGTCGAGGCCGATGGTGTACTGCATGTTCTGCGGGCGGTCGCCGCGCGCCGCCAGCTCGCGGTAGGCGAGCGCGGGCCGCATGTACGTGAGCAGCATGCACGGGTGCATGTGCGCTGCGCTTTATATAAAGTGCGGTGTGTGTGTGTGTGTACCGGTGCCGACGTAGGTGACGCCGTCGACGTCGAGGCCGATGGTGTACTGCATGTTCTGCGGGCGGTCGCCGCGCGCCGCCAGCTCGCGGTAGGCGAGCGCGGGCCGCATGTACGTGAGCAGCATGCACGGGTGCATGTGCGCTGCGCTTTATATAAAGTGCGGTGTGTGTGTGTGTGTACCGGTGCCGACGTAGGTGACGCCGTCGACGTCGAGGCCGATGGTGTACTGCATGTTCTGCGGGCGGTCGCCGCGCGCCGCCAGCTCGCGGTAGGCGAGCGCGGGCCGCATGTACGTGAGCAGCATGCACGGGTGCATGTGCGCTGCGCTTTATATAAAGTGCGGTGTGTGTGTGTGTGTACCGGTGCCGACGTAGGTGACGCCGTCGACGTCGAGGCCGATGGTGTACTGCATGTTCTGCGGGCGGTCGCCGCGCGCCGCCAGCTCGCGGTAGGCGAGCGCGGGCCGCATGTACGTGAGCAGCATGCACGGGTGCATGTGCGCTGCGCTTTATATAAAGTGCGGTGTGTGTGTGTGTGTACCGGTGCCGACGTAGGTGACGCCGTCGACGTCGAGGCCGATGGTGTACTGCATGTTCTGCGGGCGGTCGCCGCGCGCCGCCAGCTCGCGGTAGGCGAGCGCGGGCCGCATGTACGTGAGCAGCATGCACGGGTGCATGTGCGCTGCGCTTTATATAAAGTGCGGTGTGTGTGTGTGTGTACCGGTGCCGACGTAGGTGACGCCGTCGACGTCGAGGCCGATGGTGTACTGCATGTTCTGCGGGCGGTCGCCGCGCGCCGCCAGCTCGCGGTAGGCGAGCGCGGGCCGCATGTACGTGAGCAGCATGCACGGGTGCATGTGCGCTGCGCTTTATATAAAGTGCGGTGTGTGTGTGTGTGTACCGGTGCCGACGTAGGTGACGCCGTCGACGTCGAGGCCGATGGTGTACTGCATGTTCTGCGGGCGGTCGCCGCGCGCCGCCAGCTCGCGGTAGGCGAGCGCGGGCCGCATGTACGTGAGCAGCATGCACGGGTGCATGTGCGCTGCGCTTTATATAAAGTGCGGTGTGTGTGTGTGTGTACCGGTGCCGACGTAGGTGACGCCGTCGACGTCGAGGCCGATGGTGTACTGCATGTTCTGCGGGCGGTCGCCGCGCGCCGCCAGCTCGCGGTAGGCGAGCGCGGGCCGCATGTACGTGAGCAGCATGCACGGGTGCATGTGCGCTGCGCTTTATATAAAGTGCGGTGTGTGTGTGTGTACCGGTGCCGACGTAGGTGACGCCGTCGACGTCGAGGCCGATGGTGTACTGCATGTTCTGCGGGCGGTCGCCGCGCGCCGCCAGCTCGCGGTAGGCGAGCGCGGGCCGCATGTACGTGAGCAGCATGCACGGGTGCATGTGCGCTGCGCTTTATATAAAGTGCGGTGTGTGTGTGTGTGTACCGGTGCCGACGTAGGTGACGCCGTCGACGTCGAGGCCGATGGTGTACTGCATGTTCTGCGGGCGGTCGCCGCGCGCCGCCAGCTCGCGGTAGGCGAGCGCGGGCCGCATGTACGTGAGCAGCATGCACGGGTGCATGTGCGCTGCGCTTTATATAAAGTGCGGTGTGTGTGTGTGTGTACCGGTGCCGACGTAGGTGACGCCGTCGACGTCGAGGCCGATGGTGTACTGCATGTTCTGCGGGCGGTCGCCGCGCGCCGCCAGCTCGCGGTAGGCGAGCGCGGGCCGCATGTACGTGAGCAGCATGCACGGGTGCATGTGCGCTGCGCTTTATATAAAGTGCGGTGTGTGTGTGTGTGTACCGGTGCCGACGTAGGTGACGCCGTCGACGTCGAGGCCGATGGTGTACTGCATGTTCTGCGGGCGGTCGCCGCGCGCCGCCAGCTCGCGGTAGGCGAGCGCGGGCCGCATGTACGTGAGCAGCATGCACGGGTGCATGTGCGCTGCGCTTTATATAAAGTGCGGTGTGTGTGTGTGTGTACCGGTGCCGACGTAGGTGACGCCGTCGACGTCGAGGCCGATGGTGTACTGCATGTTCTGCGGGCGGTCGCCGCGCGCCGCCAGCTCGCGGTAGGCGAGCGCGGGCCGCATGTACGTGAGCAGCATGCACGGGTGCATGTGCGCTGCGCTTTATATAAAGTGCGGTGTGTGTGTGTGTGTACCGGTGCCGACGTAGGTGACGCCGTCGACGTCGAGGCCGATGGTGTACTGCATGTTCTGCGGGCGGTCGCCGCGCGCCGCCAGCTCGCGGTAGGCGAGCGCGGGCCGCATGTACGTGAGCAGCATGCACGGGTGCATGTGCGCTGCGCTTTATATAAAGTGCGGTGTGTGTGTGTGTGTACCGGTGCCGACGTAGGTGACGCCGTCGACGTCGAGGCCGATGGTGTACTGCATGTTCTGCGGGCGGTCGCCGCGCGCCGCCAGCTCGCGGTAGGCGAGCGCGGGCCGCATGTACGTGAGCAGCATGCACGGGTGCATGTGCGCTGCGCTTTATATAAAGTGCGGTGTGTGTGTGTGTGTACCGGTGCCGACGTAGGTGACGCCGTCGACGTCGAGGCCGATGGTGTACTGCATGTTCTGCGGGCGGTCGCCGCGCGCCGCCAGCTCGCGGTAGGCGAGCGCGGGCCGCATGTACGTGAGCAGCATGCACGGGTGCATGTGCGCTGCGCTTTATATAAAGTGCGGTGTGTGTGTGTGTGTACCGGTGCCGACGTAGGTGACGCCGTCGACGTCGAGGCCGATGGTGTACTGCATGTTCTGCGGGCGGTCGCCGCGCGCCGCCAGCTCGCGGTAGGCGAGCGCGGGCCGCATGTACGTGAGCAGCATGCACGGGTGCATGTGCGCTGCGCTTTATATAAAGTGCGGTGTGTGTGTGTGTGTACCGGTGCCGACGTAGGTGACGCCGTCGACGTCGAGGCCGATGGTGTACTGCATGTTCTGCGGGCGGTCGCCGCGCGCCGCCAGCTCGCGGTAGGCGAGCGCGGGCCGCATGTACGTGAGCAGCATGCACGGGTGCATGTGCGCTGCGCTTTATATAAAGTGCGGTGTGTGTGTGTGTGTACCGGTGCCGACGTAGGTGACGCCGTCGACGTCGAGGCCGATGGTGTACTGCATGTTCTGCGGGCGGTCGCCGCGCGCCGCCAGCTCGCGGTAGGCGAGCGCGGGCCGCATGTACGTGAGCAGCATGCACGGGTGCATGTGCGCTGCGCTTTATATAAAGTGCGGTGTGTGTGTGTGTGTACCGGTGCCGACGTAGGTGACGCCGTCGACGTCGAGGCCGATGGTGTACTGCATGTTCTGCGGGCGGTCGCCGCGCGCCGCCAGCTCGCGGTAGGCGAGCGCGGGCCGCATGTACGTGAGCAGCATGCACGGGTGCATGTGCGCTGCGCTTTATATAAAGTGCGGTGTGTGTGTGTGTACCGGTGCCGACGTAGGTGACGCCGTCGACGTCGAGGCCGATGGTGTACTGCATGTTCTGCGGGCGGTCGCCGCGCGCCGCCAGCTCGCGGTAGGCGAGCGCGGGCCGCATGTACGTGAGCAGCATGCACGGGTGCATGTGCGCTGCGCTTTATATAAAGTGCGGTGTGTGTGTGTGTGTACCGGTGCCGACGTAGGTGACGCCGTCGACGTCGAGGCCGATGGTGTACTGCATGTTCTGCGGGCGGTCGCCGCGCGCCGCCAGCTCGCGGTAGGCGAGCGCGGGCCGCATGTACGTGAGCAGCATGCACGGGTGCATGTGCGCTGCGCTTTATATAAAGTGCGGTGTGTGTGTGTGTGTACCGGTGCCGACGTAGGTGACGCCGTCGACGTCGAGGCCGATGGTGTACTGCATGTTCTGCGGGCGGTCGCCGCGCGCCGCCAGCTCGCGGTAGGCGAGCGCGGGCCGCATGTACGTGAGCAGCATGCACGGGTGCATGTGCGCCGCGTCCGCCGGCAGCTGCTTCGGCTTCTTGGGCTGCTTGGCGCGCACCGCGCCCGCGACCAGCCCCGCCTCCGACCCGCCCTCCGACTCCGACACCTGCACCACACCACAACACGTATTACATAATCAAATTTACATCCTATATACATCCCACACCTGGCCACCGCCATTTCTGAGACGGTTTCAGAGCAAGGAAATATCCGCCGCGCTGCCCCAATGCGTGTTGGCAAACTTCACATATCTTCGAAATGTTATTATTATTATTACAGGCCAGCAGTTGAAACAACTGATATAAGCCCGTATCCTATTTTCAAATGTGTAATTATTCTATTTTAGTTGTTTATCTAATCTGTTCTTGAATTAATTAATAGTTTGTGCAGAAACCACCTTCTAAGGGCAACTTGTTTCATGCTTCGACCAATATTTTTTTTCTTATTTCTTAAGCGTGCAGGTTTTCCTTCACCGTCGAACACGTAACAAATCAACGATTAAAATTGCAACTAACAATTTCATTGGTCCCGGCGAAAACTACACATCTAAATGAAACAAGTTTTACGGATTTTATCACATATATTAACTTATTACCGTTACCCCCACACGAATATTCTCTCCTGTATCATGAATGCAATTTACAAACATAGAACATAAAAGCGACAGTAGCCTAATGGCAGGATGCGAACTGCGAACTCAAACGTCATGAATTCGAATCTGCCATCCGCTTACTATCGTAAACAACTCATAACACAAACATTTCACGTTTAACAGGAGTGGTTATAAAGAATATTTCTAACATTATCCCGTAAAGAAAAATAGATCCATAATAAAGAGCTGATAAACGCTTTGTTTATTTAATATTATCCTCCTGAATCTACCCTACCAAACAAGTAAACATTTTAAACGCTCCTTAGAAACTGCATCTGTAAAATTACTCATGTGGCTGCACGTCACTCAGTTTCCCATGAGGCCATGAGGTACCTACAAACTTCAAACTTCTTTATTTAAATTATATGCCGCAAATAGTATAAAGTTATACATACACATATATCAAAAACCGATGCTAGTTTAACTGTAGCTTATTGAACCGAATTTACTTCCACTATCACTTTCAGTTCCAATATTAAGTTCATTTATGAGGTCAAAATTCCGTGGAATGAAAACTATTGAAACAATAAAGCACAATTCTTTCGTCGCACACCTAATTCTAGTCTTCAAGAAGTTCCAATAGCAGTCTCCGAAATACACCTTCAGGTCACTCTATCAAGTCTGGAAGTAAGATCTCATTATAACTAACAAAACGAAGCCAAACTCGGCACACCTAGTTCTACTCTTCGAGGAGTTCCACTAGCATTCACAAAAATACACCTTCAGATCACTCCGTCAAGTTCGGGAGTAAGGCCTCGTCATAACTAACATAACGAGCAGAATCTCGGCACATCTAGTTCTACTCGTTGAAGAGTTCCAGTAGCAGATACGTAAGTACACACAGACTTTCGGTTTTCTACAAGATGCATTTCGGAGAGTGTGCACAGGAATTATATATTATATTATCATGTAATGGAATGTAAACTGCCATTTACATTCCATTACATGATAGATGAAGAGATTAAAAAATAGATTGAGTTAAACAATTCATATTTTCAAAAGTTATCGTGTTTACCCCTACATGCGGACTTGATAAATCTACACCATAAGCAACTATAACCACTTTTTTATGTAAAAATAGCAATTGATCGATCAATACGCACGTCACAGAGCTCCGCGAAAAATAAAAAATAAACAGTGTAAAAAAGTGCCAACAAAGTGTGTCATACGAACTACTACATACAACAAAGTACAAAATACGTGATCAGTGAAAAAATTACAGCATACATTATTAGCATATCTGTTCAAGCCCACTAAAAACCAGCGCTGTTGTTGTTCCAGCGACAGCGTCGGCTAAGTGAAGTATGTTTGCTTAACGTGCGTCTCAACACACATGACAAACGTGTTTAAGCTTAATTTATGTTTATACATAATTTGTTGCATGTGTCTGTAAGTTATTATATTTTAATTTTGTCATGCCTCTATACCTATTTCAGCAAAGAAAAGAAATAATTTTCCGGCGTCTGTCTGTCTTTCCGAATACAATTTGGGCGTCTTCAAAGCAAAGTGAATAGTTAGAGTGGTAGACTAAAACAATAGCCTAAGAGCTGGTTACGAAAACGAACTGATAAGGTGTAGTAACGAATTATATATTATATAATCTCTCCTGGGTAGCTTATAAGTACAGAGCGAGGGCCGTCAGAACTCTCTCCCGGGGCGTAAGACGTGGGTGGGTGGTCTAAGTCGTAAATTTTCAATAAGAAAAAAATGATTAAGTGCAGTTCTGAAATTTGGTAGAGTTATAGTTTTTAACTGTAGGAATCTAGGAAAATTATTGTCGGAAGTCTAGGTCGGGGCTTAAAGACTGTCAGAAGTCGACAAAGTTGTAAAGAAATTGTTTAAATTAAAACCACGTCTTCCGCCCCGGGAGAGAGTTCTGACGGGCTTCGCTCTGTACTTATAAGCTACCAAGGAGAGGTTATATATATAATTCGTTGCTACACCTTATCAGTTCACGTTTTCGTAGTCAGCTCTCCGACTACAATATTTACTAAGATTTACCATCGAGGGCTTCATCACCGCTTACCACCAGGTGGGATTGTGGTCAAACACTGGCTTATAATAAGTAAAAAAATAAATAAAAATAAACATGAACATACAGTCCCAGACCACCACATTTTAAACAAGTTATTACCTAGTAAAAATAAATACTCACAGATGTGGTGACAGGTCTGAGCTGCGGCACTTTGAAACCCTCCACCTCCCACTCGCAAAACAGCTTGTGCAGCGCGAACGACGCCAGCTGGATCATTGGAAGAGTGTCCTCATCCATTTCTTCGCCTTGAGATCCTATACAAGAATTACAAATTAATCAATATTTTATGTTTTCCCAATACATGCCCTGCACAGGGGACTATCTGTCACACCTATGGTTGGTGCCGTGTCCTGTGATAGCACTTGTTACTATTCTGATCCCGATCCTCTTCTGGCCAGTTCATTTGCTGCATTGATACCTCTGGATCCACTGTGTCCCTTTAACCATTGCAGAGTCACATTGTTGTTTACTTACCTCATTTAATCGTTGATGGCATTAATATATTAGTCCCGAGTTCACGACATTGCAACTCAGAGCTTGTAGTACCGCCCTACTGTCGGTCAGTATTCTGATGGAGAACTCATTAACCGTCCTAGCATCTATGGCTATGGCCGCTTGAATGATAGCCATACGGTGTCCACATGTGGATATTGAGGTCCTCAGAGAAAGTTCCAGATCCTACAACACTTTCATTTGTTTTAGAACCATCGCTGAAAACTCTAAGCTCTTTTGGGCTTAATCCTTCCGGCTGGCTGGTTTCGTTTAATTGTATCTTGCACTTCTTATCAAATACAAATTGTTTAGGGATCTTATCGTACTTGGCTTGTAAGAAAGAAATTTTTGAGTAAGTTCCATCAATTATGCCTGTATGAGGGACTCTATCCTTACTCCAAAGATTTAAGGTCTTGAGTCTAATTGCAGCCAAAGTAGCTTCTCGTTGTATGTGTAGATGAAGCGGAGTTAGCTCCAGCATCGCCTCTAAGGCTGCTGTTTGCATAGTCCCTGTGCAACCTGTGGCAGCCATACATGCTAATCTCTGGTAGCGCTGAAGCTTCTTTATAGTGGTGGCTTCATTTGTCTTGGTCCTACACTATCTACTACAATAGATTTATTTCTATGCACTTCATAATATTATAGTTGATAGACTCGTTGGTTTAGTGGCTTTAAACTGCTGGTCATAAAGTCCTGGGTTCGAATCCCAAGTCAGAACAGAAATCAGTTGAGTGTTTCTGTCAAATTTTATCATTTTAATCAAATTCACCATACTCCGTGCCTCGGAAGGCATGTAAAGCAGTTCGTCCTGTGCCTGCACTCTCTCCACTCTTATCAGATTGCCATCCCATCAGACTACGAGAGCGAGGGAATAGAGTGCACCTGTACATACACTTGGGCACTATAATCCAGTCCCAGGCTAGTCTGCGTTGAGAGTGGCCACCGTAACCAAAATTTGGTGTGGAGGACATTATTAACTTAAAATATGTAGTTACCTACCAACATTTATTTCTAGGCAGATAGGGACATTATCGTTTTGGCTAGCAATGGTTACCTTCGGTATTAATAGCTTTGTTCATCCTCTTGATGATGAGATCACGAATAGCTTGCTCTGCGGCTGCATTGCGCGCCATCAACTTGTTGTCACCTGAAATTGAATTGACAAATTGCACCTCACCTCCACCTATGCATAGAGTAGAGTATGTATGTACGAATATAGTGTTGTGGATTATCCACAACTCTATATAAGTTTGTTAAACAGAAATCTTAATTTTATTATTATTAAAATTTAATTATTAATTTTAATAACCAATAATCTCGTTTAAGTCTTTAATTTTTTATATTAATTAAAAAGAAATATTTAATCCATCTTGTGCCTTGTTATTACCTTCATTTTAATTCACTAAAATTATCGCTATCGGTACTGTATGGGCAAAAAGGACATCAATGCATCCCTAATTATTTACACTAGATGTATAAAGTTTACAGCATGTTTACACTTAGTGTATAAAGTTTACACCATGTTTACACTAGGAATATAAAGTTTACACCATGTTAACACTAAGTGTATAAAGTTTACACCACGTTAAAACTAAGTGTATAAAGTTTACACCATGTTTACACACTAGGCATATAAACTAGCTTCAAAGGTGCGTACTGCGACACACTGCGACTGTCAATCCACCTTCCGAGTGTAACAATTTTTGCAACGGGAGAGGATCATGTCGAGCTGTGGACTTTTACGTTCTAATAAAGAAAAATAACATTTTAAAGTTATACAATCAAATGTTTATACTAACCATAGCCTGTGTATTTGTTTCCATCAAGATTGAGGTCGGCGCAGAAGCTGTGAGGTTTGTAGTACTGATTGTTGCTGGGCGTAGGCATCACTTGGAATTGCTGCAACACAAAACACTTCCTTAGTAATAGAGCAGAGTTATATGATCGCCTCTGATCATGCCATTCCTTATAATAATCTCATCAAAATTATTTGTAATATTGTTACGCACTTGGGGTTCGAGACAATTAAAAACTGCCGATTGAATTACCAAAATTGACACTTTAATTACACAACACTAATTACAATCTAAAATCACACTAATAATAAAACACAGTTCGCCGTTATTTCGTTTCGAAGTATTCTCTTGTATCGCCAATTCAATACTGCCCCGGTCGTGGTCTATACCGGTCTTATATAGGGCCTCAGATAGTTTCCAGAACCTTCTACTGTAGCGACATCTAGAATGTTCGAGTACATATCGGTCCCGAAATTTCTGGAAGGATCTCGACTCTCCTAGTTCTGCTACTCGACACTAGAGGGCGCTAGTGTGACTAGTGTTGCCATGTACAAGACATTAATAGTGGCGCGCAATACTTTCATTTACTCGACACTAGGGGGCGCTAGTGTAACTAGTGTTGCCATGTACAAGACATTAATAGTGGCGCGTAACACTGCCCCCTCCTAAGACATGCTCGTCCCGAGCATTATTAGCCCCATAATAACGCGCCAGTCGATCCACATGGACAATCTTAGGAGTACCTCTGGCACCTTTCTGTATCCGGTAGGTTACATCATTGATCCTTGTCACAATCCGGTACGGTCCGTCCCATTTAGCTTGAAGCTTAGGAGATTTCCCTTTGCTGCGAACTGGATTGTGTAACCACACTAGTGAACCTTCATCAAAGCCCTTGTTGTTCATTTTGCGGTCATACCGTGTTTTCATCTTCTCAGACGTTTGCTGGCCCGTCTGTCTGACGTGCTCATAAATGTCATTCATTTTGTTCCGCAAGTCATTTGCATAATCGGTTATACTGCGTGGGGCATCAGGTGGTATTCCGGTGATCAGGTCTGCAGGCAGCCGCAATTCTCTCCCAAAGTTTGCGAAAGCTGGTGTCACTGATGTACTTTCGTGAACAGCGCTTCGATATGACAACAAAAACGGTTGTATGTGCCTGTCCCAGTCTCGTTGCCGTTTTTCCACAACTTTTGCTAGGTACCTCTCCAATGTCTGATTAAATCTTTCTACCATTCCATCAGATTGTGGGTGGTAAGAAGTTGTTCGTGTTTTCTGAGTACCCATAACTCGGCAAGTTTCCTGGAATATTTGAGACTCAAAATTCCTTCCTTGATCGCTGTGAATCTCTAAAGGTACTCCAAAACGACAGAAGACTTCATGAACTAGTTTATCTGCAACTGTTGAAGCTTCTTGATTTGGAATGGCGAAGACTTCTGGCCACTTAGTGAAGTAATCCATCACTACCATGAAATACTTGTTACCACTTTCAGTTTCTGGAAACGGCCCCGCAACGTCAATGGCTATCCTCTCCCATGGTGCACCAACATTGTACAATTTCAATGCGCCTCTACTACGAATTTGAGGTCCCTTTACAGCCGCACAACTTGTACATTTGCGGCACCAGTCCTCGACATCGTCACGACAGTGGACCCAGTAAAACCGTTCTCGGATCTTCAGGAGAGTTCGTTTAACTCGCAGGTGGCCTCCTGAACAACCACTATGGTACAGCTGTAGAATATCCGGCACTTTAGCCTTAGGGACAACCATTTGCAAATGACACCTGTCTCCCCGACCATTTTCCCATTTACGGCACAGGACTCCATCCTGAATCAGCAAGCTGTCCCATTGGGCCCAATAGCTTTTCGTGGTCGAACTCATTGCTGAGACGTCGCTCCACTTGGGCTTAGGAGCACTGGCCTTCATCCATTCCAGAATCAGCTTAATGTCCGAATCTTCCTGCTGTGCATGTTGTAGGCTGTCCTTCCACTCATTGCTGAGCTGGTCTGTACTGAGCATTCTCACAGATACCACTTCCTTACCCTCTTGCCTAGTACAATGCTTGCAATCTTCAGGGCAAGGTCTTCTTGACAATGCATCTGCATTGCCATGAGATTTCCCGCTGCGATGTTCGATCACAAAGTCGTATTCCTGCAGTAGTTCTATCCATCTCGCTCATTGTTTAAATCGTATAATCTTGTAAATTTATTCTTAGAACCAACACGTATTGCTGGGCCTAGTGCAACCTGTATAGATAACATTTTTACAGATGTTAAGCCCTTGCATAAATCAATTATTCAAAATTTAAGTTCAGATCACTGTGGACAGTTAGTATCACTACCTTACATACACAAAAAACAGAAAAATAAGAAAGTTGTGTTTGTTCCAATAAATGAACATCGCTTGGAGAGGTTTAGAAGTAATATAATAAAAAGACTTCCATCACTTTCGTTTAAAAATAGTGCTAATTATTTGTATGCTATATTATTTGAAATCATACGTTGTGAATTTAGTAGAATATTTACTTCTAAAACTTTCTCTCTTAACAGTCGCAAATCATTTAATGAATGGGCGACAGTAGGAATTTATAAAAGTAGGCGAAGGTTATACGAGCTTTATGATGAAAGATCATATAATAGTAGTGTTATATTTAGAGATTATGTAAAAACATATTCTAAAATATTTAAAAAAGTGTGTTCCACTGCTAAGGCTTTACATTTAAGCAACAAAATTAAAACTGCATCCGACAAAATTAAAATGACCTGGAGAATAATAAATAGTGAAACGGGCAAGGTCAAACCGCGCAACTCGGATTTTCAATTAAATATTAACAATAATTTAACGCGATCTGATCAAGAAGTTGCTATAGCTTTTGAGAAACATTTTACTGATGTTCCTTTTTTGACAACAAAATCATTAAATTCTTCTCCTACAGTCGCCGAATCATTGCTCAAACAAAATGTAAAGGCTTGTTCAAATACTTTTAAATTCCATAGGGTACTGCCAAAAGATATCGTTAAATATTTTAAAGCTATTGATGTTAAGAAAACGGCAGACTTATGGGGGATTTCCGTTAAAGTTATTTTATCTATAATAGATACATTAGCACCTTATCTAGCCACTATATTTAATATAAGCGTCGAATCTGGTGTGTTTCCTGATTTAATGAAACATAGTAAAGTCATACCTATATTTAAATCTGGTAGTACATTAGACCCCGCCAATTTTAGACCAATTTCTGTACTACCAACATTAAGTAAAATTTTTGAAAAAATTATTTTAGATCAGATGTTAAGTTTCTTCAATATTAATAAATTGCTACATAAAAATCAATTCGGTTTTACAAGGGGTCGCTCGACAACTGACGCTGGAGTTGAGCTTATTAAACATATTTTTTGTGCATGGGAGAATTCAGAGGATGCTTTGGGTATATTTTGTGACCTTTCCAAGGCCTTCGACTGTGTTCACCATGATATATTAATCAGGAAGCTACAGTACTATGATGTCAAGAACACAGCGCTTAAACTTATTATTTCATATTTAAGTAATAGAAAACAGAAGGTTATTATCAATGGTAAAAGTTCTTCGGGGTCACCTGTACTAATGGGTGTTCCTCAGGGCTCGATTCTCGGCCCATTCCTGTTTCTGGTATATATTAATGACTTACCTCACCTTGTAGGGGATAGTCATGATATAGTATTATTTGCTGATGATACTTCCTTGATTTTTAAACTTAAACGTCAATCATTTAAATGTGACGAAGTGAATAATGCTATATCAAAATTAGTGCATTGGTTTAACGTTAATAATCTGCATTTGAACGGAAATAAAACTAATTGTGTTAAATTTACAACAACGAATGTTAAAAATCTTAATACCAATGTGTTTTTAAATGGGGAGGAATTGAGCCCTGTTGTATCCACTGTTTTTCTTGGCATCACTCTTGACGCAAAGCTACAGTGGGGCCCCCATATATCCAAATTAGCAAGCAGACTAAGTTCTGCAGCCTATTCTGTAAAAAAGATTAGAGGTCTCACTAGTGTCGAGACAGCTAGATTAGTTTATTTTAGTTATTTTCATAGCATAATGTCTTATGGGATTTTGCTATGGGGAAATGCGGCGGATTGAGAAACTATTTTTGTTTTACAGAAGAGGGCCATTAGAGCTATTTACAATCTAAAACCGAGAGAGTACCTTAGAGATAAATTTAAAGAAATTAATATATTAACTTTGGCCTCTCAGTATATTTACGAAAATTTAATGTATGTTCACAAAAACAAAGATAGTTTTAGTAAAAGAAGTGATATACATTCTGTAAACACTAGGAACAAACACAAGCTAGTGATACCAGTTTCTCGACTCCACAGAGTCAGTAATTCATTCTTGGGGCAATGTATACGCTATTACAACAAGGTCCCGGAAAGTATACAGGTTCTCTCTATTACCAAGTTTAAATGTTTCATTAAGCTGAAACTGTATAAAAAGGGTTATTATAGTATAAATGAATACATGGTTGATAATAACCCCTGGGAATGAGGTGATCGCTTCCAAGCAGTTTCTAAAATAAATTTTGTAAATAGTTCGTAATCATTTATATTGTAAAATTTATTTAAAAAAAATGTCCCGCTGGGTTTCTTGCTGGTTCTTCCCAGGACAGAGGGTTTTTTTCGAACCAGTGGTAAAGTAAAAAATGACTTTCAATAAGAATTACACATGTAATGTATATTGAATAAAAATATTCTATTCTATTCTATTCTCGCAACTTGTCCTTCCGGATTTTTGAACTGCAATAGCCATTTCAGTGCAGCATGGTCAGTTCGTAAGTGGAATTTCCGCCCTAGAAGATATTTGCTAAAATGCTGCAAGGACTTTACCACAGCAAGCAATTCCCGTCTTGTGACACAATAGTTCCTTTCCGGCTTTGACAACGACTTGCTGAAGTACGCTATCACAATCTCTTGATCACCATTCCGTTGAGACAACACACCGCCAAGTCCTATATCACTTGCGTCTGTGTCAACTATGAATTCCTTGCCCGCATCAGGGTACCCCAAAATAGGTGTTTTGCACAGGCGGTTCTTGAGCTCCTGGAATGCAATATCGCAACTTTCATCCCAGCAGAATTGTCGCTTCTCCTCGGTTAGCTTGTGCAGAGGTTTGGCTATATCTGCAAAGTTCTTCACAAATCGCCGATAATAAGAGCACAAACCCAAAAATGCTCTAACCTGTGTCTTGTCTTTTGGGACCGGCCACTCCTTGACAGCAGCAATTTTCTCTGGATCCGTGCGGATACCTTCTTCCGACACTACATACCCCAAAAAACTAACTTGCCGTTTGAATAGTGAGCACTTCTTTGGACTCAACTTGAGGTTGGCACTCTGGATCTTCATGAGCACGCGTTCCAGGTTTTGAAGGTGTTCCTCAAACGTACGGCCTACGATGATGATGTCATCCAAATAGACCAGACAAGCATCTCCAATTAGCCCGGTAAGTACAAGCTCCATCAACCTTTCAAACGTTGCTGGAGCATTGCACAATCCAAATGACATGACTTTAAATTGCCACAGACCCTTTCCTGTGGAGAATGCAGTTTTCTCCTTGTCCTTAGGGTCAATTTCAACCTGCCAGTAGCCACTTTTCAGATCCAGCGTACTAAACCACTTTACGCCTGTAAGCATGTCCAGCGTGTCATCAATTCTTGGCAAGGGATAGCTGTCCTTCTTCGTAACGTCGTTCAGGCGGCGGTAGTCAACACAAAACCGCATGCTGCCGTCCTTCTTCTTTACCAGCACCACAGGTGAACACCATGGACTCGATGAAGGTTCAATAACACCATCCTTCACCATTCCCTCAATCATGGTTTCCACTTCCTTTTCACGTGCTACAGGCAATCTTCTTGGCCGCTGACGAATAGGCAATTCTTGTCCTGTGTTTATTTTGTGTTGAACTAAGCCAGTCTTTCCTATGTCAGCTTCGTTTGACGAGAAAACATTGGCGTACTTGAGTAACAACTTCTTCGCTTTGACCGTTTCATTCGGGGAGAGAACGCTGCGACAGTCTTCTAAAAGTGTGGTCACTCTAGTTTGTCCATCCTTGCTGGGGATCCCAGTCGATAGATATTCGCACCGACGCAACCAATCCACTTCCTCACTAGTACCAACCAATGTGCCTTTTTCTATAATCTGTTCCTGATCACAAAGGTTCAGCACACGTACTCCTGAGATGTCGGCGGTTCTGACCAAGGTTCGAGCCACTTTCCATGGAAGGTCATTGTCTACCCTTTCCACGAGTACACAACGAAGAGATTGCCCAGGATTCCGTGGAAGTCTAACCGGCACAATCGTTTCCGATCTCGGCGGAAGAACAATCTTCTTAAGGCTGTACACATTCCCTGGTAACGCCCTTTCCACGAAAAGTTCCTCTTGTCCACATTTCAAAACACCTTGCTTAACGTCGATCTCACAACAATTCTTCCTCATAAAGTCTAGGCCCAGGATGCAGTCGTCCATTATATCAGCCACGATGACATTATGCAGGTAGATCATGTTGCCTAGCTTCAACCCCATCTCCTTCTCTCCACGGACGGGTATGCGCTGACCGGTGGCTGTCACCAAATTAATGCGTTCTCGGTTGTATGCGGAGTCCCCAAGGAACCGACTTATAAGTTGGGAACTGACAACCGTGCGAGAGGCTCCAGTGTCTATGGTCAGTTTACACGGCGTTCCGTTGACTTCGCCCTTGATGATTAGGCTGTTCCCATCATGGGTTTGTGAGATCGAAATCCTTGGGGCTCTTTTAACATCAGCCAGCACCCGCCCCGCAGTCCTGGCTTTTACTCGTTTCCCTGCTGCTGCTGGGCGGTGCTATTATCCGCACTACCCTCTCGAGATCGATCACCTTCCCTTTCTACAGTTCGTTTAGGGCAGCTGGATCGAAGATGGCCCCTTTCCCCACAGCCGTAGCACCTAGGGCTGTAGCCCTTATTGCGGTCCTGAACTGTAGCTGCTGCAACCTCCCTGACGCGTTGGGAACGATGATCCTGCCGCACCGCTTCCACCTTCAGTGCATGGGTCAAGGCGTCCTTAAGCGTCTCGTGGTGCCCGAGCCTCACAGCAGCTCTGACTTCAAGGTCGCGGATGCCGTCGATGAATGTCTGCACCAGGTTCCCTACAATGAGCGCAGGTACAGACTGGTACGCTTTTCGAACCAGCTTCTCCACCTCAAGGGCCCACTGCTGCAGGTTTTCGTTACTGCGTTGCACGCGATCTTTGAGCTGCGCACGAAAGACGTGTTCCAGGTGAGCATCGCCATATCTCGCCTCCAATGCCTCAAGGAGCTGCTCGTAAGTCACTTCCTTACCGAGAGCTTCCAGAACAGTTAAGGCCTGGTCGCGTAGGCCTAGGGTGAGAGCAGTCATGGCCTGACTTTTATTCCAGCCGTTCGCTTTCATGACAGCCTCGAACTGGATTTTGCAGGCCGACCAGGAAGAACTCCCATCGAACGGCGGCACTTTGAATCCACGTAGCGAAGGTGTTGTAGCTACCACGGGAACTGTAATTCCATCCCCAAGTTTGAGGTCGTCCAGCGTTTTCTTCACATCAGCCATCACGTTGTCAACCCGATTGTTCACTTGGTCGATTCGGGTTTCAGCTTCCGACAGGCGGTTGTCATGTTGAGCAACCCTATCCTTCACCTCCTTTATCTCTTTCCCGAAGGTAGCGTGAAGGTCCTTCCTGAGGAGCATCTGTTCTTCCATACCGCGCTGCAGCTGCTCTTCCAACCGACGGGTCTGTTCCTCCTGTCGGCGAGCCTGTTCCTCCTGTCGGCGAGCCTGTTCCTCCTGTCGGCGAGCCTGTTCCTCCTGTCGGCGAGCCTGATCCTGCAGCATCATCATCAGAGCACCTAAGTCAGGTGCTGCAGATGCAGGAGCTGCTGACGGGCCGGCCTCCGTGGTTAGCAGCTGCCCCTCCGACGTTTGCGGCGTTGCATTACCAAATCGTCTCTGGTCCGTCTCCTGTTGGCGTTGACTTCGGGTACGGATACCCTCCGTGTCGTCTTTAGGTAAAATCGGCATATTTGATCCCACTTCTGACACCAATTGTTACGCACTTGGGGTTCGAGACAATTAAAAACTGCCGATTGAATTACCAAAATTGACACTTTAATTACACAACAATAATTACAATCTAAAATCACACTAATAATAAAACACAGTTCGCCGTTATTTCGTTTCGAAGTATTCTCTTGTATCGCCAATTCAATACTGCCCCGGTCGTGGTCTATACCGGTCTTATATAGGGCCTCAGATAGTTTCCAGAACCTTCTACTGTAGCGACATCTAGAATGTTCGAGTACATATCGGTCCCGAAATTTCTGGAAGGATCTCGACTCTCCTAGTTCTGCTACTCGACACTAGAGGGCGCTAGTGTGACTAGTGTTGCCATGTACAAGACATTAATAGTGGCGCGCAATACTTTCATTTACTCGACACTAGGGGGCGCTAGTGTAACTAGTGTTGCCATGTACAAGACATTAATAGTGGCGCGTAACAATATGTATGCATATAGTGAAATTTTTAGTATATGGTCAAATACACACTGAGCATAAACAAGTATTGTCATTGGTTGTTAATTGTCTGCAAAATTGTAGAAGTGGGCGCAAACAATTATAAAATTATATTACATTCAATCTTAAACTTAAATTCATATCATACATACACATATTTTTACGTACACGTCAAGCTAAAGCCCTTTAAACAAGCTGCCAATGATGAATGGAGAACAAATTGCCTGCCAAGTATGATGATTACGATACCCAAAAAATACCTAGTTCCAACAGTACACAAGTTATGGTAACTTTAATAATTAGAGATAAATAATAATGTCTTTTGTAATGCGTACAGCAAAGGAGTGGAATAATTTGCCGGCGTCTATCTTTCCGTCCGAATACAATCTAGGCGTCTTCAAGGCAAGAGTGAATAGGCTTTTGTTACGATAAGACAGTGCGATTTACCATCTAGGGGTGCATCATCAATTACCACCAGGTGTAATTATAGTCAAGCACTAGCTTATAAAAAGTAAAAAAAAATGTAGGTGGTCTTGTGGTCGTCGTATACGCGGTTACTGATCATAAGGTTCCGGGTGCAAACCCCAGGTCGGGCCAAAATTAGTTATTGAATTTTCTGTCAAGAAATTTTCAACAAAAGCTTGGAGTCAGCATGTTGGCTGTGTTCCACCCCCGAACCTTGGAAGCACGTAAAACGTCCTGCGCCTGATCTCTGTCCGGTCGTATCGTATAACCGTCCCATCGGACTATGAGAGTGAGGGAATAGAGAGAGCACCTACGTGTTTCGTACACTATGATCCTGTCCTGCACAGATGGCTGTTTTCTGTTGAGAATGGCCGCTGTGACCGAAATTCGGCTTGGAGGACATTATTAATAATGTAGGTTTATTAATACTCACGGTGGCAAGCTGCTCGTTGGGCAACATCTCATTGAGCACCATGAGGGCGTTTTTAGGAGTCAGTAGGCGCCGCAAGCTCTGGTTCTGCCGACGACGGCGCTCCTTGTTGCTAATCTTCTTTACTGTGTGAATAGTTTAAATGATGGTGAGTGAAAAGCTTCGTAAGTCTAGAATCGTACCATGAAACTATAAAGATATCAAAACAAAACATTCAATAAAATTATATTGCAAAACGAATAAATGACTTAATAGTATTCTTATCCACAAATTACCATTATTTTAAAATTTAAGCAAGTTTTAAGATCTCAGGATAAAAAATAAGAATTTAATAAAATAAAAAAGTAAAACCACACTGACTTTAGAGCACTAAAAAGAATAAAAAAATTCACACAGTGAAATCAGTTTTTATTCTTATAAACAATATGGCTTAGCACCAACTTCAGAAAGCGAAATAACTTCATTCTTTATATTTATTTGAAGTTTGAAGGCTTTTACTTTTTATAAAAAGTAATTTTTTATTTTCAATTTCTACATTTCAAAAAACTCACCTCCGGACAATTTAGATTTCATCCAGTGAGGACGAGAGTTCGAGTCATCATTGTCATCTGTCTCGGACTCCATCTTCATATTAATGTCCTCATTCTGTTTACAAAGAGACGAGTACATAATATTAAATCTGTCTATCAACTAAATAATATAAAAGTAGTATAATTGCATTTAACCTAATACAATCAAAAAATTATAGTACAACCAACATTTCTCGATACTTGATAAATGTAAACGAAACTAGATTAATCTTAATTTTCGACTAGATCATAAGAAACTGACCTGAAGCCCAAACATCCTTGTCTATCGGATTACAAATATTAACATACTTTGTAAAAAAAAAACACAATTTTCTAAAAGTATGGACAGGGAAATAAATAAGTATCAAAACATCATGCATAAGTATTAGGTACCAACACAATTATCAAGTCTGCTACCAAAAATAATAGTGCTACCAATTTGTAGTTTACAATTTAATTATTCCTTATACACATTTTATCAAAGAACTAATATATGATTGAGTACCAATTACCTCATCACGGTTTTCAACTGGTGGCGGGGGTGGCATCTCATTCTTCTCATCCTGACCGAACGTATTCTCTTGAGGCGGTGGCGGCGGCGGCTGTTGCCACTGTTGTTTTATATCAATTTAAACTATTACTACCTATTTCAAGAATTAACTTACATACTACTTTATGTGATGAGTGATGACACATAATATGAAGGCAATGCATATAATAGTTTTATTATTTTACTAGCTGTTCCCCGCGACTTCGTCCGCGTAGTATTTATTACGGTTGGATTTCATGGGTATTCTTTTTTAGTAATTTACTATTATACTTTCCTATTTTCATATATACAAAAAAAACATGAAAATGTGAACAAAATTTTCAAGGTTTTTTTTGCGCGGAACCCTAATTACTTTTCTCAAATAACAGTAGCCTAAGTTACTCCTTATAACAGCAGCCATCTATGCCAGAGAAACTATTGTCAAAATCGGCCCTTCCATTTTGGAGATTAGCTGGAACAAACAAACAGACACAGACGGACAGAGAGTGAGACACAAATGTGGTATCCTTAGCCCTGATGCCCAGGGAGCCTGGAAAGACCCTCGCGACATTTTTTTTTATAGGATAAAGGTGACAAACGATGGAATGCCTCGTTTCCAGTAAAAAGGGTCTCCGGTTCTCTACACTCACCATACGAAACACAGCAGCATTAAGCTGCTATTTTACGCTGGTATTCTGTGAGAGCGTGGTCCTTCCCCGGTCGAGCCGACCCATTCGTGTTACAACTATACCAGAAATATAGTTGTAGCATGGCTCTACCACATTGGTCGTGTGCTGGCATACCAGAACCGCTGGGTAGACTGGTAGTAGAACTGGCTGCTACTCAAGGCAGATAAGCAGACTGACGGGTGGTTCCTCGTTGTTTCGGTGCCGGAGGATCATATCCCGACCCTGATGAAAACCGGATACCGTCTCGCATGTGTATGTGGAGCGGTATACGTAAAATTCCAGGGTTGTGGAGGTAAATTATTTGATACTCTACCAAGCAAAGAGGCAGATAACAATCCGGAAGTCATGGATACCGGGGCCATGGTTACCGGTACAGCGGAATCATTGGATGCAAGTCCAGTGAAAAAAGAGCCTGCATAACGCGATCAATGATGGCGTGCCCTTCGTCCAGAACTAGCCTAGTGCAGGACAACCTCCACCACAGCGAAACTGCGTCGGCTTAATCACGCAAGTGGTTGGAGGCTCAAAGGACGGCCATAGCCTTATTCCAGGAGCTGTTGGTTGGGGCTGCTAAAATCAAAGACTTAAACAACCTCAAAGGTAAGCTATAGTAAGCTAAGTATTTACTCTACCAAAGACATCTGTGCACAACCATTAACAGATTTCTGTTCCAGAGACATGTATGCCATGGCAATACAATATACACAGGAGAGAAGATTGGTCGTCGCCTAGGTCTGCATGACGGAGGAAGACACTCCTCCCCCTCATGACCTCTTCAGGATGGTGAATTTCTGCGAGAGGACCGGACTAGAGGTTGTGATCGAAACGGACTCCAGCGTGCATAATCCCATTTAAATAAAAAAGAATAAGAAATCAATAAGAAATCATTGTGCATCATCCCCTCTGGGGAATAGAAAACCCAATGAACGAGGTAAGGTGTGAATATCTATTTAGTACTAACCTAACCATTTTAAACACAGGTTCTGAACCAACTTTCATAAACAAACGTTTTCGCACAATAATCGACCTCACACTTGCAACAGAAGGAGCAGCTAAACAAATTACAGGATGGCATGTGTCGAAAGAAACCTCATGCTCAGACCATAGATGGATCTGCTTCGTACTACAGGTCGATATCCCAACTACACCACCAAGGAGAAACCCCCGCAAGATGGATAAAACAAAATACCTTAATAGGCTGACGTCTTCGCTCGCGTGGTTTGAGGGGACAAATACTATAGCAGATCTGTTGCTCCAAGAAGAACGAAAACAAATGAAGCCACCACTATAAAGACGCTACAGCGATACCAGAGACTGGCATGTATGGCTGCTACAGGCTGCATAAGGACCACAACAACAGCAGCCTTAGAGGCGAAGCTGGGGCTAAGCCCGCTTCATCTACACATACAACAACAAGCGACCTTAGCTGTCATTAGACTCAAGACCCTAAATCTTTGGAGTAAGAATAGAGTCCCTTCATACAGGCATAATTGATAGAATTCACTCAAAAATTCCTATCTTACAAGCCAAGTACGATAAGATCCCTAAACAATTTGTATTTGATAAGAAGTATAAGATACAATTAAATCAAGTATAAGATACAAGTAATTTAGCTAGATTGATTTATGGCCCCCGAAACCCCTTGCATACTAAATTTCATGAAAATCGTTGCGAGCTGTTTCCGAGATCCCGATTACATTTTATTGAAGCTATATTTGTTTTGCAAAAGAGAGCCGTACGGGCGATTTATAATCTAAATTGTAAAGAGTCCCTTAGAGAAAAATTTAAAGAAATAAACATATTAACTTTGGCATCGCAATATATTTATGAAAATGTAATGTATGTACATAAAAACATAAATAGCTTTAATAAGAATAAGGATGTTCATACCTTAAACACTAGGAACAAACATAAGCTTGTAATGCCACTTACAAGACTCCACAGAATTAGTAATTCATTTATGGGGCAATGTATACGCTTTTACAACAGAATCCCAGAACATGTTCAAAGTTTGTCAATAAACAAGTTTAAAAGTTTTATTAAAGAAAAACTGTACAAAAAGGGTTATTATAATATCAAGGAATACATGAATGAAAATAACCCCTGGGAATAAGGTGATCGCCACCATGCTGGTTCTATGAAAATTCATTTAAAATTGTATAAACAAAATTATTGTTAAGTGAAATTATGTTTAAAAAAAAGGTCCCGCTGGGTTTCTTGCTGGTTCTTCCCAGGACAGAGGTATTTTCCGAACCAGTGGTAAATAAAATAATGACTTTCAATAAGTATTATGTAATAATCCATATTGAATAAAAATCATTCTATTCTATTCTATTCTATATACATAGATACAAGAATTGCTTGTTTAAAGGTATTCGATACAGCCAATTATAATTTTAGTGATTGGATAAAACTACTTTTACGGATTCTATAGTGTTCAATTATTTTTTTTTTTTAAAGACAACAACTAAATTTATAGTGACAACGCATCTGCATTTTGATTTGTAATAGAGGATAGATGTAGGATGTTTATGGGCCGCAGCAACCACAACCATCGGGTGGACTGTGTGCTCGTTTGTTACCCTTATCCTATAAAAAAAATCCCGACGTTAAACGAATTAAAGAAAAAGTTAATTACACGCGATAGATTCCGTAAAAGTAGATTTATTCAATGTATAGTGTTCACGTAAATATAAGAAATAATTATTTAGTGATTGTGTTCAAATTTACTTACATTGCCACCAAATTGGTTCTGCTGTTGGTTGTTCTGCGGAGTTCTGGCCCGCTGCTGACCCTGCTTGGCACCAAGCACCAGCTGGCATTATGCAGCCTTGAAGGTCATGCCAGCTGCCTCTCACACACACAGAATATACACATATTCTCACTCACACAGGACAATGTGCAAGGGGTAAGGGAATTTAAAGTGAATATTAACAGTTATGAGGAAATTTTACAAATATATACAATATCTGTAATTTATTCTTTACTACATAAAAAATATGACAGACATTTGAAGTCTTTTTGTATCTTTCCTGATCTAGAGATCCCAGGGCACCCTCTTGGAAACGAGAGACCTGAGCCGATTAGTGGGATAAATATTGGTATCACTTTACAATTTATACAAACAAAAAGTTTATGCATACTATGATGTTTATAAACTTTTTCAGGCTGCTTTCTCAAAGCCAAGCAATAGATACCCAGACCAGTCACAGAGAACATTGTCAAAGGTGTTATTCTACACAAATATAAAGGAACAATTTTTTACTCTAACCAAATTATTAAACAAAAGAAAGTTGTATTTTTAAAAAGGACAACTCATACATACATCAATGTTCATACCTGAGGGCAACTAACATCTACCATCTTTCCCTACATTCCTATAATGTAACTCACCCAGTAAAATTGCACCAGATAGTACCACTACCCACATTTATACCCTTGCACATTCACAGTGCAGCATTTTTTCTTACATAATCTACATCCAAATAAATATGTTATTTAAATGATCAGTTACAATTTCAGAGGGCTGTCACATATTAGGAGCTGAGGGTAGCAGTTTCTACTTAAGTCTAGAGAACCCTGTATGTTCACGAAACAATGTTTCGTGTCCATAATGCATTCTCAGTCTTCAGTTATACTCTGAGAGGCTTAAAATGACCGATGAAATGAATTATTAAGATGTTAGGTAAACAATACATCCTTTGAGAGCACAATGTGTCAATCATAGCTTCAAAAAGTTCAAAATTCCTAATTCACAAGATACCTTTAACTTCCTGTATTTGAGATCCAACATCGTAAAGATTGTACACAATTTTCTATGTGTATTTATCCAGTACAATGTTAGCATAAATACGGTCAATATCTAAGCACAGTCAGAGCTTAACTTGTGACTTTGTAAAGCCAGTGCCTGGATCTGGTGGCTCAGGGTTGTGCTGTAGTAACAAACAGCTTATCAATATATTTTCTTAACAACACTTAAAATATTGTCATTATCATAAGAAAGAAAAACATTGTTACACAATCAAAGACCATGTAGACTTGTAAAATTGCTTAAAATTAATAATATATATGTAGTGTTACTTTATGGAAATTAATTATATTAAATACAAAAAGATTAATTTGCTATGATATATGTGCAAAATTAAAAGGTCGTAAGTGGTGGAGATATAAACTATCAAGGAGATCTGATCTGAGAAGGCTGATGAAGTCTTCATGCCATATAGAGGTTAAAATAGTGTTGATTGTTAATAGTGGCAGTGGCAGTGTGTAGGTATGCAGGATTGTGGCAAGAAAGGAGATGCTATTTAAACTAGCATTTTTGGATTGTAGCATTCTTTGGATGCCTACATTCAGCAGTAGACTTGTGAAGGGCTGTAATGATGATGATGATGTTACAAATCTCATTTGATTTCTTATAGTTTGTTTTATAGCATGCTTTTAAATATTTTTGTTATTTTTTTAAGCTGTTTCAAGGCTTCCAATAGACTTAAAATACCTTGGAAATAGGGTTGCCACCTATACTAAAATATATAGTATCATTCTATGTTTCAGTCAATTGTTATAGATATTTTTCAAATTCAAATTCAAATTCATTTATTGCCGAATGTAGTACATAATATTATGATGTTGTAATTTATTAATGAGACCTTACATTCTACCATAATAATGGTGATCTACAATATACAAAGAAAATTATTATTACATTTTAACAAGGTATAATATTTAGGAAAAATAATTATGTAGTTGTTTAAAAATATTTTAGCGTCAAGTTTTTAAGTTACAATAAATATATGTCAAAAATTGAATTAATTAGGTAATTGATTATATATAAATGTATAGTATTTAAAAAAAATTAAAAAATGTCAAAAAATTAAAATAAAATAAAATAAATATTAAATGTTAAAAAAAAAGTTATAAGTTTTTCTTTATTTCACCATTATTTTACATTTCTTTATAATTCATATATTCGTCTAACCTATAAAAACATTTTGTTGCCAGCCATTCTGTGAGTTTCCTTTTAAATATTACGAAAGGGAAGTCTTTAAAAGTGTTAGGCAATTTATTGTAAACTCTAATAGCATTTATAAATACATTTCTTTTATATTTGTCAAGCTTGCATAGAGGCAGATGGAGCTTAAATTTATTTCTTGGCATGGCACTTCTACTGATTAAACTTGAGTTAATGGTGAAATATTGTGGATGCTGTTTAACAAAAACACAAAGTTCCCGTATGTACATACAAACTAAAGGCAGTATGTGAAATTTGTGAAATAAAGGTTTGCAACTATCTAAAGACCAAGCTCCACAAATAGCCCTTACACACTTCTTTTGAACACGAAAGGCCTTGCCAACATCAACCGAGTTGCCCCACAACAAGAGACCGTATGAAAGCACTGAGGAGACATAGCCATGGTATGCGCTCAATGCCGCTTCATTCGACACTGTCAACCGCAGCTGTTTTATAGCATAAACAAATTTCTCTAGTTTATCGCATACATACTTTATATGATTCTTCCAGTCACAGTGTCTGTCAACCATTAATCCTAAAAATTTAGTACAGTTGACTTCTATTTTTGTACTATCGTAACAGATGTTAAGTTCAATAGGTGGAGTTCTAAAATCTCTAAATTGTATCATCTTGGTTTTATTTAAGTTTATTTTCAAATTGTTACTTTTAAGCCATCTAAAGATTTTGTCGAGTACAATAGATATTTCATTTTCATAGTTGTTTCTATCCTTACACTTAATAATTACAGTAGTATCATACGCAAACAGAACAGTTTCGTGGTCAGTGACGTTTGGAAGATCATTAATATATATAAGAAATAAAAAGGGACCTAACACACTTCCCTGTGGGACACCGTATTTATTATTTTGCAACCGAGATCTGCTTGTAATTTTATTGCCCTTTTGAATTTTAGCAACCTCTACGCACTGTTCACGGCCAGTCAGATAACTCTCCAGCCAGTCATGTGCTTTTCCCCGGATTCCGTATTTTTCAAGCTTATATAGTAATAATTTATGGTCTACGAAATCGAAAGCTTTAGTCATATCAAGAAAGATATATATAGATATTATAGAAAAATAATAATAATAAGGGACGCCCTAGACGAAGGTTTATCGACCAAATCGGCGATACATTAAAAATGGGCCAGATTAGGAGTACCCTTAACCAATGAGCGTGTATGTGCAGATATATCGATGTAAAAGAGGCGAGAGAGGTGTGTCAGGATCCCGCCAAATGGAAGTCCGTAGTCTCTGCCTACCCCTCTGGGTGACAGGTGTGAGTGTTTATGTATGTATGTATGTAATATAGTAAGAAAAATACTTTTTTTCATTCCTAATTCAACTGTCGCGTTTTTATATTTTAACTGTGACAGGAAGTCTGGAATGCACCCACAATGCAGCATGGGGAATTTCAGAACAAAACAAATTCACAGTAACAAAATGTCAACAGTCAAACTGTCAATAATTTGTCAATGAATGCCAGCCAAATTTTATATGTGTTTATTCACTACTGTTAAAATAATTAAAATCTTGTAAAGTGATGATGGTTTTCGCAAGTCTCCCAAAAAAAAAACAATAAAATAAAGAAATGAATTGTTAATTTATTTTAATATGAATCTAAATTGCTCTGATTCCTATAATTATTTTAAAGGTAAATAAACTTGTAATTGATGGGCAAAGCAGAGCAATAACAGATATACATATTTATGGAAAAATACATATTGTTGTACTGTTTAAAAATAAATGTGTACTTTTATATTCCTGAATTTCTCCAAAAGTACTATATTTTTTCATAATTTTTGGGAAAAATACTATATTTGTTCAAAAAAAGGTGGCAACCCTGCTTGAAAATATTATGACAGTCAACCTTAAGAGTAGCAATGGATTGTAGTGCCTTTTTTTAGTAACGAAATGAAACTATCTATCGAATATAAATAGCGGCTTTTGAAATACTCTATTTTAATAGCGGCTTCAGTAGTATTTCACAACATGTTTAATAAAAAAAACATGCCGAATGAAGTGATGGACGTTTCGTGAAACAAAAGCTTGATTGGTTTCTTTGGTGTTCCCGTTTCGTTAAGATTACAGTTATCGAGATTTTAGTGTTAAGAAGATTTATATTGCAATAAAATTTTCTTAATGCTTTATCCAGGTTTAGGACTGGATGATTACGAGTTAATTAAGTAACAATTAATACATAAGTTAAATTTTCAATAAAATAATACTTATATACAATTGTATTATCTTCTTATCTTACAACAAATATTATTATTGTTGCACAAAACAAAATCTACTACATTAGCAATCGCACCTAAAAACAAACCGTGACATCAAACATGAGACAAATTTAGACTAGATCAAGGCCATGTAATTTGAAAATATTTGTTAAAAACATGCACACTTACTTTTTCATTTCTAATATCACATTTATCCACAGGTAATAGCCATAAGTCAAATGCAAAAGCAATGTATGCATAGGTGGGTGTGAAAGAGACAAAACGTGTTCACTCGACATGCAATGGCTGGTGGTACTTCAACAGCCGAAGCCATTGCCGATGCGTAGAAAAAATAGCCGAATAAACGATTTATTAAATTTCGTTCTGATCGCTCGATCATAAAATCATGTTACAAAGTAAAATATATACTATAATAGATAGTTTCGATGGACTACAATAACCCGCTACTGTATGAATAGATTGTTTGCAAGAGTAAAAACACCCACAAATCATAAAATACACACATACAAATAATAATTAAACAAAAAAATATTTAAATAATAATGTATACATTGACATATATAATAATTCAACATAATATATCGAAATAATTTGAAATATATTTATTTAACTATTATGTACACAGTATGCATACATTGTCAAAGTGAAGATAGTAAATCATATACTTACTGAAGTTTAAAATTTGTTGGCAATTTATAAACGATAATTTAGACAATTCATTAATTTTATAATTTAATGAGCACATAAATCACAAAAATATAAAATGGAACTACTGTATTGATTGATTACTCACCTCGCCGGCAGAAACAAATTGTCCCGGAGTATTGTATCGGCCAGTATTACGTGTATTATCTGCAAATAAAGTTTTTTAAAAGCGTTTTTCATGTCTTTTGTAGTTTTGTAGGTTATTAAAGTTTGACAAAAATGGAGGCCGACACAGAAAATCAATATTTGATGTAGACATCGATCTAATCATAAAAGCCACATTATCGCCTTGCGAAAAGTTGATTAAATCGTAAAAATCTTGCAATAAACCTTTTGATTTGCATTCCTTTTACAAAAATTCATATTATGACAAATTATGTAGTATGTAATCATATTTGTGGAATGAAACTTACATTTGTTGAATGACATTTTTTAGATTTATTATGTCAGCAATATTAAATTTTACACTTTGTTTAGCGATTAACCGCTATTTTAATAAAAGAATATAGAATTGAATTAATAAATTAACTCCAATAACTCTTTACAAGCCCACAGAACACAGAAGTCAGAAGCCCACCACACAGGTGTGACCAGATTTAATTTGACGAATCTACTGCTTGTGGACGTTAAAAGCTACTGAATTCTACTAAATGAGAACGAGAAAATACTAAAAAATCTATTATATTTTTTGCTGTCGTGTTACAACGTAAAAACCTTAATGTTTTCTTGATTAAACGATAAAATAACAAAAATAACAAAGAAACCACCATTAATTAAAGACACCAATGTTTTTTTTTTAAATAAAATTCTAAATAAAAATATAATTAAAAAATAAAATAAAATGAAACTTAAAGTTAAGAAATTCTTCGTCTTTATGTTGGGTAACATTGTTATAAAGCTGTTTGGAATCCATTAACGTAAACATACTTATGTCAGGATCAAATCTGCTACATCCTCCTTCCAACTGTCGTAGCCCCTCTTTTCCATGCATTATTGCAGCAACATTCTTATTATTAAATCGATTTCGATCTTGATTTTGAATCCTATTAATATCGGAAAATATTCTTTCTACTTTGGCGTTTGACAAAGGTAGTATCGTCATTTGCTTCACAAAAAAGTTCACAAATATTTAACAAATTGCCATTCTATGGTTTGCTATTCGCATCACAGATTTGGCTGACTTCACTCCAAAATTTATTCACCATAAAAGTTTCAGACGTCGAACTAGAAGTTGACAATAAATTAGACACGGAAATATCTAATTTTAATTCCCTATATTCATTGTCAACAATTTGCATGTTTTCTGTTGCAACTAAGTTAGGAAACCTTTGGAGTATTCTTATCAGAGTTCGAAATTCACCATACGTATCACCTTTTAAGTCCATCATACACAAAAATGTTGTTTGTGGAGATTGCATTTTTTTGGAGTAGTACTTTATTGCTGCTGCAAGTACCTTGGTAGTACTGACATCTATGCTCTCGTCGATAATGCGCGAAAGTACTGGGCTTCTCTCAGTTTCATTTTCCAATCTTGGACGTAATTCTGCAAGCATTTTTTTTTTCAAAGTTATTGCTTAAAACGTTGTAGGCAATTGCGGCAGATTTAGTACTTCTACAGGAAAAATGTTTTGCGATTTCAGAGTCGTGAAATGCCCTTGAAATAACTTCGCTTACATGATCTATTACGCGAAAAGGAATATTATGTTCAACTAAGGCAGCTACAATTCTGATTTCTGCTTTTTTTACTTCTTCCGATATGGTTGATGTTTTGAAAATTGTATTAATCAGTAACCAAAGAAGTTTTCTACGTGGTAGAGCCATGCTGCAGCTATATTATGGTTGTAGCACGAATGGGTCGGCTCGACCGGGGAAGGACCACGCTCTCACAGAAAACCAGCGTAAAATAGCAGCTTAACGCTGCTGTGTTTCGTATGGTAAGTGTAAAGAACCGGAGACCCTTTTTACTGGCAAAGAGGCATTCCATCTTAGTCCTCACGGGTGATAACGCATCTGCATCTTGAGTCTTTATTGAGGATAGATGTAGATGTCTATGGGTCACAGTAACCACTTACCATCAGGTGGACTGTGTGCTCGTTTGTCACTCGATCCTATAAAAAAGAAAAGTTAAAAATAAGTATGCGGCACATTTCATATAAAAAACTAAGCAATTTTTACATAGCATTTAACATTAATGAACACAGTTGTATAGTAATTGTTATGTAAATCCGTAGATAATAAACGTACATAAAACAGCGAATATTTGCTTTTGAGTAGAAATCAAATTCATAATACGGGTTCACACTACTGCGTAAGTTGAAAGTATTAACAAAAATAATTAACTAAGATAATTAATATAATCAGGCGTTACTTTGCGGAAATCCATTATATAAAAGCTTTTAGAAAAATTTTACTTCGCAAATATCCGCGTTATAAAATAAAATGATGTGTCTTACCTAGTACGAAGAGCACCTCCCACCCTCCCTCAATTGCGTGCACTATCCCCGTCACCACTAATCCCAGCACCGCTACTCCCAACACCACTACACTAGGCAAGACACACCACTGACGATAATACGACACGTGTTTCGCCTCTACACGAGGCATCCTCAGGTGATATAGACTCTACGGTGGCTAACCGCTAAGTGAGCGGCGAGCGAAAACAAGTGCATTTTATACAGACCGATGATGCAACCGCTCTCTACCTAAGGAGCGAGCGACTGCGTCATGCGATAAAACATACGACCAATCACCGCTGGACTTACGCAACCGTTTGTAAAATTAAAAACAAACCGCCGCGCAACGCCCACCCTCCAACCACGCGACCAATCGCCGATCACCGTGAGGGTGACAAACGACCATATTGCGAGGCTATCTATTATTAGAGAGCAGGCTTGAAGATATTTAAGAGAGGTGAGTTAGTAACATTTGTTTGTTCATTCAGCAATGCAACGGTATTACTATTACTTTTTAATATCTCTAACTGTTCCAGCACACACAGCCGCAGCCCTTTATTACACGTATGTAAGACTTTAAAGGAGTGGTCGTTGGCTAGGTTGTATCCAGTGTCCAAAAGATGTTTTGCAAAATGGGATTTATCGGGATTGCAATTCCTGTACGCGGCTAAATGCTCTTTATAACGTGTCTCGAAATTGCGACCAGTCTGACCCACGTAAACGGCGTGGCATTCGTCACAAACAAGTTTGTAAACACCTGACTTTTGACGAATATCCAACTTATCTTTATTATTACAGATATTTCAAATAATAATAATATTTCTTTATGAGAAATATCAAATTCAGTCCCGTAAATTACAACGACTTGTATCCTCTTCATCCCGTAATCGTAATAACGACATTCATACAGAATATCACCAATTTTATCCCCGAGTCAAAAATCTTTCCGATGTCCAGTTTCCAACAGATGAGTTGTCCCTTTTACATAAAGGCCTAAAGTATAATTTAACACCTTCGGTCTACCAAAAATCGTTAGAGACTATGGCTGTTGACGCGGAGAAGGCTGTTGTGATCGGGAAGAAAGATAACATCGTTAAAAGTTTGCTAGCTAATGAAATTCGGGCTGTGCCCGCGTCTTCCCATTTCAATCCTGAGTACCCTGTTTTTAAGTCCCTAAAGCAGAGAATAAGGGAAAACGACCTTATTGTTACTAAAGCCGATACAGGCAATAATGTTGTTATTATGGAGAGTAGTGGGTACAGCCGGAAAGTTAACGATGTTATCCAAGGTGATGACTTTGAGCTATTGGAGTCTGACCCAACCAAAAAGTTTACTTCGGATATTAAGTTATGTATACAACAGTCATCATATGTTTTTCCCGACCACAACTTGTCTCGGAGCAATTTTGTTCCAATGAATCCTCAAGCACCCATTTTATATGGGTTACCAAAAATACATAAAGAACATGTTCCTATTCGTCCAGTTGTTTCATATATTGGTGTACTAGCTTATTTCCTTGCTAAAAAATTAAACTTCCTCCTTCGAGAGAAATCTGGATTTAACCCCACTTACAGCCTAAAAAATGGCTTAGATCTCATTTCCAAAATTAAAGATATTCGTATTCCTTCTAATCCATATTGTTATCTTTAGACGTTGATAGTCTTTTCACAAATGTCCCATCCCCTGACTGTTTGCGTATACTCGCAGATCTCTTTGAAAAACGTCGTCTACATCCCGGGGAAACAAATGATCTTCTTAACTTATCCTCTCTCTGTATGAAACAAAACTATTTCCGGTTTAATAACCGTTTCTATCTACAAAAAGAAGGGTTAGCTATGGGGTCCCCTCTAAGTCCCCTTAAGGCGGACATTTTCATGGATAATTTCGAAAAACAACGTATAGTTGTCAATCAAAATATCTTATATTACTATCGATATGTAGACGACATAATTATTTGCTGGACTGGCACAAGGAGACAACTGGATGTTTTCCTCAATAAAATAAATAGAGTCCATGACAAAATTAAATTTAAACTTGAATTGGAACAAGATTGTTCCCTTAATTTTCTCGAATTAACAATAACAAGAAAAGAATCGTCACATGTTTTCCAAATTTATCGAAAGCCAACTCACACCGACACGGTCATCCCCGCGTCATCATGTCATCCGTGGTAACATAAAGTAGCCGCTTTTTATTGTTACATTAACCGGTTGTTCACTGTCCCATTAAGTAAAGAAAATTATTTAAAAGAACTTAATATAATTTATCAAATAGCGGTCTCTAACGGTTTTTCAAAAAATCTCATTAACAATTTAATTAAAAAGAAACAAAAGCATGTTGTTCGCAACTCTCTGTACGCGGTTCAACCTCAAAGTGTTCATCGATATGTGAGCAGTTTGACCTACTTAGTCCCCATATCTGAAAACGTAGTTAATACTCTTCGACAAAACGGCGTTCATGTGGCGTTCAAAACAAACAATTCTCTTAGAAATATCTGTAATAATAAAGATAAGTTGGATATTCGTCAAAAGTCAGGTGTTTACAAACTTGTTTGTGACGAATGCCACGCTGTTTACGTGGGTCAGACTGGTCGCAATTTCGAGACACGTTATAAAGAGCATTTAGCCGCGTACAGGAATTGCAATCCCGATAAATCCCATTTTGCCAAACATCTTTTGGACACTGGACACAACCTAGCCAACGACCACTCCTTTAAAGTCTTACATACGTGTAATAAAGGGCTGCGGCTGTGTGTGCTGGAACAGTTAGAGATATTAAAAAGTAATAATAATACCGTTGCATTGCTGAATGAACAAACATATGTTACTAACTCACCTCTCTTAAATATCTTCAAGCCTGCTCTCTAATAATAGATAGCCTCGCAATATGGTCGTTTGTCACCCTCACGGTGATTGGCGATTGGTCGCGTGGTTGGAGGGTGGGCGTTGCGCGGCGGTTTGTTTTTAATTTTACAAACGGCTGCGTAAGTCCAACGGTGATTGGTCGTATGTTTTATCGCATGACGCAGTCGCTCGCTCCTTAGGTAGAGAGCGGTTGCATCATCGGTCTGTATAAAATGCACTTGTTTTGGCTCGCCGCTCACTTAGTGGTTAG